GAGGTGGTAAATTAAAATAAACACATATTTCTTCATAAAACATCACAGTCAATCTTTGCTTTAAAGCATAAAATTTAAGAAATTTTCTCTGAACTACTTCTAATTGATGTGCCAGAGTAGTTCGATATGGACACCATATTTCACAAGAATTACAAATAGAATGACAGTAAAATGGCATGAAAATTAACTGAATGACCTCAAAATTTCACATACGCTCCAAAACAAGGCTTGTAAACTGGCTATCTGTCTGTCAAAAATCAATATTGAATACAATATTTCACGAATCATAGCACATCTCCCTATCTCAAAATATTAGTTCATAGTCAATAATTACTGCCATTATCCAAAATTTATAACTGAAATGGCGAAAAAGCATGTAATTAAGCAGCACGTACAGTACGTGTTCATTGTTATTACAGGCTGCAGCGAGTTTACAAATGACACATTGTACATACTCCCGTCTTGCCGAAAACGTCTAGCTTCTTCTTAAAAACCTTCTCGTGCTTTCCACAATCCCATCTTCTTCTAGACTGTTCCTGGCTGTAGCAATATTGTTGATATCATTGTTCACGGGGGTTGACACCTCCATGTGACACGATTTGGTGACATGTGCTGGATCCAAAATTAACACGAGGTATTACAGGAGCCGCCATATTGTTTACGCATCGCTAGGGCACACTGCGATAGTATGCACGATTTGATTGGTCGATACGAGCTTGATAGAACACTGCTCATTGGTCGACCAATTATTGAGCTCTATTTTGGAACAGTCGAAAATGACTTCGATGGGTGAAATTCTTGTGGAAACCTCTACGTATTTTTTGCACTTAAGAAATCAAATTAAAACGAGTGAATATGGAATTAATTCTGATTTTTATATTGGAATTGAGGTCACTAGAAAATTAAAAAAAAAACTTATTGTGAACGAATATTGACGTGTTGTTATTTTTGTGTTGGAAGTCAAAACGAAAGTACAACAAAATGTATTAGAGTTACTGCCCTTTAACAGGAAACATTGCACAATGTCGTGTGTCCGCCATGATAAAGGCATGCACACGTTGTGATACTGATTCAATGCTCAGAGAAGACCAATTTCCTGTACAAATTGTAACTATATTTTGATTAGTATGCTTTTTAATATATTTCTTTGCAGTTTTTAAACATAAATGTCTGACTTTCCCTCAGTTATGAAACTGTTTTTACATTACCTTGACCTTTCCCTGATACACACATACTATGTCTATTTAGAAACCTCATGTAGAACAGCTGGTGACATTTCGTCTGGAATAACCGTTATGTAAATTTTAATCACTGCCGAATATTGAATAGGTTTTGCCAATTTTTCAAGTTGTGTTAATTTTGTTTAGCATTGGACGCTGTCATTCCCAAACGTAACATCGATACACATAACTACAAAGTCTGTGTATCTTATATAAGATTGATAATATAATACACACCGTTATGCCATAAACACATATACCTTTGCTGTATATGGCAGATATATCTGACCGGAACAATGTTTTCGAAATTAATTAAGAATAATCTCATTACTAGGTGCTCAAGACTATTCTTTAATGGAACAGGGAGCTGTATTATGGATTTGAGAACTTATGAAACCAATGGATTACCGACTGATGACACTTCAACAACAAAGTCTCAAAAAAGGAGATACAGCAGTGGAAGTAGTTCATCTAGGTCGCAACAGGCATGTGCGCCAGGAGAGATTATAGATCAAATGAGACATGACGATCCAGCTATCATTGATTTAACAGTAACTATTGACGACCCAGCAATAATAGATTTAACAGGGAGTATTGGTAACACCAAAACAAACTTGCCAAAGCTAAACTACAGAGATTTGGAAGGTTCTGCAGTGAAAGGTCTGGAAGATAATCCAATGGGACCTCTATTTTCAAGACTAAATGATTCCAAATATTTCCAAAGAGGTCCTAGTTCAAGTTCCTCCCAGCAGTCCAAAACATTTAGTGATATTGAAAACAAAGCTAGGCCGTTTTCACCAAATCCTCCGTTAAAGAAACATAAAAAGGAAGAAGATGACTCTAGTCCAGGTAAGTAATTACATCATGTATTAAAGTTAGATTTAAAATGCTGTTTATCTAGAGCTATGAGATTACAATGTAAGCTATGCAGCCATCATTACCATGAGCTTCCTTCAGCATTATTATCTTCAGTCAATAGTTATAGTAATTAAGTAACTACAATGAGAAGGGTTTACAAAAATAGTTTGTTTTTATCTAACGCAACATACAATAAAAACAATTATTTGACTTAATATTTAGACTGACATATGTGAAAATTTTCTTTGTCTATTGAAATATAAAGCTGCATCTTTGATTTCTCTTTGTAGAAACCAAGGATGAGTTTGATCTTGATTCATACAAGTCCCTAAGGACATGGGAGTGGACCACCATTGGAAGGCAGTGCTTATTTGGAAATTATAGCTACCATGGCACAGACTTCACTGTCATGTCCTACAATGTTTTAGCCCAAAACCTGCTTTACGACAATATTAACTTGTATGTTAACTCAGAAGAAAAGTATCTAGAGTGGAATTACCGGAAGCATGTTCTTCTGCATGAGATCAAAGAACATTTGCCTGATGTAAGTATGATAATATCAAATTCAAGAATTCATCTAGCTTTTTAGATCAACAAGAAAAAAAAATGTTTTATGTGGCTTTTCCTCCTGTCTATTCATACCAAAAAAGAAAGAAACCAAATGAAAAGAATGCTACAAAGTGACAGACATAAACACATACGACTGAAGACTTAATACTATCAGTTGTTTTAATAATACGAAAATTAAAACATGTATGGATAATATACCCATGACAGTATTTCCTGTTCTTGATGTACAGGATAACTAAAAAAATTCATACAATATTTTATAAAAGGGAAAGTAAATAAGGCCACCACTTTTGAGGTGGTGGGTATATTGGAATTTGAAAGCATTCAAAGTTAAAAGAAATAGGTGACAAATGATTTGTGACATTGTGTGGCTTAAAATCTTTATTTTAAACTCTTATGAAATGCATGTACCTGAATAGTACCTATTTTAGAAATAGTGACTCAGTATGTTGCATCATGCCTATTTCCATTGTATCAACTTAATACCTGGAACTTTATTGAAAGGAGTAATTATGCAGTTGTAGTTTATCTGCTGTTAGTCCTATTCAACAGACTTAAAGGACCTACAGCTATACAGTTGTTGAAGTCCCTTTATATTTAGACTCACATGTACAATTACAAGTATCTTGCTGATAATGCTTTCTGTTTAACGTTTTGGTTTTAGACATGATTTATTACCTATAGCTCTTATCACTCTGAACATATATACACCATACACGTTTGCCAACTCTCCCTATTTGTTAGGCAGACTCCTGATTTTGGACCCTGAATAAAAATTGACCATTTTCAACCAACGAATTTGCTGAACTATTTCTATTTTCTAAGATCTGATGATTTCATCTGAAAGAATAACTCAAAAGTTGCCACTTACAATTGTAGGAGGCACTGTAGTCTAGTGGAAGGACGCCGGGCTCGTGACCGAAGGGTTGTGAGTTTGAGTCACGGCACGGCACTGTGTTGTATCTTTGAGCATGATACTTTACTCCGCTTGTTCCAGTCTACTCAGCTGTAAATGAGTGCGTAGTTGGGCAGTGCCAGAAATGTAGAATGCTAGCTGTGAGCGCCGAAATGGCAGCACTGGCTGTATGCTCCCCAGGGAGTTGAGAAAGATATTGGCTGGTTGCAAAGGCCCTATAACCACTGATGATAATTTGTGAACCGCTTTGAGACAACCTACAAACTAGATTGTGATGAAGCAGTATATATAAGAACCTCAAATTATTAATTATTATTATTACAACTGCTTTGCTGTAAGTGATATTTTCCCCCTAGGGTGTAAGCAGACACATTTAATCTTATGTTTTTGATTTAGAGCATGTGTAAACTCCCCCATGAACATTTTAAAAAGTTGGCAAAATTAGTGAAGTAAAAAATACAACAAAGAATTACTGATAATTCAGTGGTGGCATTGATGTTGTCTATGTATTAAAGAAACTTTCAGGGTATGATGGTTGATTTGTGCAGGAAGTACAGCATGATAATTACCTACATGAAACTTGGGAGACTTTAAGCTTCTCCCCCAATTCACTCTAGTTCTTAGCTCTTTATAGTGCCATGCAGGCCTCATTCAAAAAACACCCCAACAAAACACTTCAATATTGCGGCTGGAGCAGTTTGAATATTTGCCCTCCAGGTAGTTTTGTCAGTAACAAAACTGTTACTGGATTACAGTGCCGTTATAGCAGTCACATTTTTGTAAGGATATTGTTATTGGATTACCAAAGAAAAAGCTAAAATAGATGCATCAGCACCGCATTTTTAACACAATTGATATTGTTAATACAAACTAGGTTTTCCCTCTGTATCATTTTATACATATCTTTATTTGACATGTAAATGTTCTGTCCATATTATTGAACACATTCTCAACCGAATGAGGTTCTCGAAAGATTGCATGTAATTACACAGATAGTGGAGTACTGTATCTATCTGTGTGAATAGCATAAATTAGGCCAAATAAAAATATATTTGTGTTTCCTGTGTTTCGGCTAAAAACAATATAGGGTAGGTAGGAAAAACATTCATTTTATATTTTTATTTTATTTTATTTTCTGGTGAAGATAATCTCCTGATTATAATTACCTCCTTGAATGTTAAAATTATGTATTTTCCCTACTGCTGGACACTAGTTTGGAGTACTCCAAACTCCACTGATGGTCACCAGTGTTGCATTATCTTTTGTATTACTGATGCTTTCTGTTCTCAATTTCCACTACCACCAGTTCAAATTAATTGAACAACAAAATAAGTACATTTATATAAAGTTTACACCATTTACAACACAAGTTTTTTTTAATCCATCATAAAATATATACAAGTCTTTACTATTGTGAACTCAATCTCTCCACTCCAAACTTATCTCCAACTATAAACTTTAAAACTACACAGATTCACAAACTACAGCTAAAACTACTATTATTACTAACTTCCTAATTCTCACTTTAACTCCAACTTTCTAACTCTCCTCTATATCTCTAGACCTCTTAACTCTGTCTCCCTAACTCAACCCCCTTCCTCAATACTCCTCAACTCAACTCCCAAACCCAACTCTCTTCTCCTCCTTTGACTCCCAAGCTGAACTACCTTACTACCTTATCTGTCCCTTAGCAAAATCCTGCTACATTAAAATTGTTGATGCTGCTGTAATTCTGCTAAAACTAGACTCCTACACAACTAGGTTCAAATGGCCATGACTTTATCCTGCTAAATTTGACTGGGGAGGGGTGGTGTGTGTGTCAATATCAGCTAACACTGACATCACACACTGGACTCCACCCTCCTAGACTACAGATTGTCACACTAATCTACAGATCCCAACCTATATAGTAACCACAATTATCTAGGCTACTTATATTAGCTACTATCTTCAAATAAAACTTTGACACTGACCATGAGTCAAGGCTAATAAAATTCATAGCAAATTATATGAACACTTGAACCAATTTAACGGCTAATATAAATATAAATGCATAACAGTGACTGGGGAGGGGGGGGGGGGACCAATGAAATGTATTAAGAGTCGGCATGAAAAAAACAAGGTTGGTCAGGAAATAGGGAAACACAGTAATATATTTTTATTAGGCATTATTATATATAAAATTATTTCCTGTTATGACCCATGTAAAATGATGACAAGTGGGTAGACCTGTCACACTGGGTGTCCCAAGTGATTTTACATTCATGATCATCAGTGTCGTTTCTAAAACATTTTTTTTTCACAGATCTATAACAGATAAGTTGTACTCTACTTGATACATAGTACTAGTAGGATATTGATTTTAACTGAACTAGAACAGAATACTCGGAGAACCATATATTCCATGATGAATATTCAAAATGATACATAAGAATTGCTGGGGACCCAAAGGGCTTGAAAGATTAGATCTAACATTTCTATTATATAAATATTATTGTGTACTTGAGAACTAACTTTTAGAAGACAATTGACAAACAATTAAATTTGCTCTAATGACAATAATCAAATTATATTCATCATACAAGAGCTTTGAATAGGTAAAAAGGATTAATCACAAATTGAAGATCGACAATCTCTGTCACCTACATGTATATGGGAGATATCAGAGATCAGCTACTACGAGAGGTGACACTATTTGATCATATTGCTGATTTTTACTTCTTTCAAGACGTATTATTTATCTCACTAATTAGTATTTACTTGTTTAACAGGTTTTGTGTCTTCAAGAAGTTAACTTGGAACACTACAAATCATTCTTTGTACCAGAACTGTCAAAATTAGGTAAGTGTTCAAAATATAAGACAAAAATATGATTAGAGGCAAAACAATGCAAGTCATTAAAGCCTGCGTGGAAGAGGAATCTTGATCACTTACAAGTGTAATTCCATATAACTGGTTTATTATCATTTAACTGCTGACACACAGACTGATGCAGTGTTATCTGTTCACATAATAATAAAATCAGTTTCTTCATTTCCAAGAATGCAAGAGTATAGCTTACAAGTACATCCACTGTCAGCCATTATAATCTCAATAGAATTTACTTCATTTTCTATTGAGATTATAATGGCTGACAGTTTTGACTGCATGCTTATGATGTGTGAATGATAAATGGGTGATGATAATTTATTGATAGGATTACATATAATAAAAAGCTGAAGCTGATACATGGAATCTCTTGTCAGTATATCTGAAAGGTTTTGATATTAAAATGTAAATGTATTACCTTTATGACAGGTTACAAAGGAGAGTTCCAGAAGAGGACAGGCTCTGACAAGTTTGATGGCTGTGCTACATTTTACAATGCACATCGGTTCAAAATGGTCAAATGTAGCCATTTGTGCTATAAGAGACAATATAGTATCCTAGACCGTGACAATGTAGCACTGATAATGAAGCTGGAACCAGTCACTAAGCGGAAACGTCGGAGAGAATTGTGTGTCGCAAATACCCATCTACTCTTTAACCCAAAACGAGGAGACATTAAGTTAGCACAGATGGTTCTTCTGTTGACAGAGATAAAAAAAATGTCACTCACATTAACAGGAGACGGTCACACAACTCACATTCCCACCATTCTTTGTGGTGACTTTAACTTAGTGCCTGAAAGTGACTTATACCAATTCTTGGCTGATGGATATCTCAACTTTGAAGGACTACTGACTAGAACGCTGTCAGGTCAAAGAGGGGGCCGGCGAGGGAGAGAGTCATATCTGCCTAGAAATTTCTTTCCGTCTGAACTAAACATCTCTGACCATTGTACATATGTTAAAGAAAATCAGTTGGATATGCCCCCTTCAAATCAAAAATCATCATCACAGTATTTCACAGAGGATGAAATCCCTTCAAGTTCTTCAGCACAGATACAACGGGATTCACAAGGAGCCTTTTCAGTGAGGAGAGAGGACAGTGGGTGTCTGTGGCATAATCTCAACTTTGTGTCTAGCTACAAACACCGGATTGAGCGACTAGGCAAGTCTGTAAAGGAGGTGACGACACATCATGGACATGACAGTGCCATTGTGGATTTTATCTTCTACAACCGCAACCACAGGGACACTAAGGAAGGATGTCTGACACTTTTGGGACGCTTGGGACTCATGTCGGAAGAAGAACTAAACCAAATAGGAACTTTTCCCTCAAAACACCATCCCTCTGACCATCTCCCAATCCTCAGCCGATTCCTGCTTGATTGATCCTTTATCAGAAGCAGCCTTTTACGCTTATGCAATAAAACTGGCTTATAGTAGTATGTTGCAAGTATACAGTAACTTAAAGTGGTATGGCACTATCTTGTTATTGCATTTATAGCTATAGGAAAGAAGAAACAAAATTATAGGAAAGAAGGAAAAATGGGTCAAAGAGATAGAATTTATAGGAAAGAAGGAACAATGGGTTAAAGAGATAGAATTTATAGGGAAGAAGGAACAATGGGCTAAAGAGATAGAATTTATAGGAAAGAAGGAAAAGTAAGTTAATGGTACATGTATGCTAAACTGCATATGAATTGAAAGAAATTGAATTGAAGATTTATTGTATATTTAGAAAGGCTGAAAAATTGAATCTTCCATCCACAGTAAGAGGAAATTTGAAAATTTCATTGCAATTTGGAATGAACACAATCAAAGATGTGCCATCCTTTACCATAGTTTTAACTTGTGTATAAAAATGTGTCCAGTCATGTCTGTATCTATCATTTATGAATATAAGAACATAATGTTTCTGTCTTAAAACCTTAGCCATCTCTGTGGATTTGCTCAAATTTATTTTTAAATTGCTATACATTTTATGAGTGGTCTCCCTTTGACTGTTACATGCAGATGGTGGCAAAGTCATAATCATAGTATCATAAGGATAATCAATCAATGAATGAAATTCAGGCAAAAAGGAGATAAGGAACATTTATTTTGGCCTGGTATGATATGGACAGTAATATTGTTTAACTGATCCTGGCATATTGGTTCTCCAACAAAAAATCGGAAATAAATAACATTGATGAAGGAATTGACACTTATAGTACATGTAGTGTTCAAGCACCAAGATGATGAGTTTGATGGATTTACAGCTGGAGACCTGGTGAATGAATTACAATTGTAGTTTCCATTGCACTAAGTTAGGTATACCGGTATTCTTTTTTAATTTACTTCATTTCAGGTTATTCCACAGAGCAAATTTCAAAATAGTTGTGCATGTATTCAGAACAAGTTTACCTTGGATCAACCAGTTGCACTCTTTTAGTTACTTTATCTAAACTTTTCACTCATGTTAATGGATTTCTCATGAACTTATCCAACGTTCTATAGCTTGAACAACCTGTCAGTTACAAAGTCCTTTGTCCATTATAACTATGTAAAAAAAAAATCAGGAAAGGAATTTTCTTTATATCAATATTTATATATATATATATCATTGACTGTGTTAAAGTTTGAAGGTATGTGCTGATTAGACAAAATTGATATAGTAAACAGATTTTGAAAAATAGCAAGTCATGTCTACATACTCATCCTAAATTATCCTAGCCAAATGGAAAGCCGCCACACCATACGTATTTTGTTTGGCCTTCGATAGACATATACATTATACAAATGTACTAAGGCAGTATTTCGTAGAATATAGTGCTACATTAAGAGTTCATGTGCCTGATAATGGGTTCAGTAGTGTTTCTGGCATTGACAAACTACCTTCATGAAATTATTTATTTTGTCAGAAAAAAAATGTGTATTTTTACTTTGGTACTCTAAACATTTTATTTTATTTTCTTTCAATGACAAACAACATGACGCTGATAACAAAAGGATTCTCATACAAGCAAAATGCTGATAAAATAATACTGGCAGAAATGTTGTAAAAGTTACCATTGTACTAAGAATATTGTTTCCTGATAATGCTATAGAAGTATATTTCAGCATTAGATACTCGTCAATTACCACAGTATTTGTGAATAAGGTGTGTATCTTGTCATAATTTAATCTCCTATTACCATTCTGATCAAGAGATGACTTCCGTTACAGTTTGAGCAACTCAATATCTTGAAACTGTATGCATGTATTTAGATTTTGAAATGTTGAAATTGTTGTTTTCATTATTTCCATAACTGATATTATGAATAGACATGTAGTAAACAATTTTTGTGAGCTCAAATGAGCCAGTATTAATGAAATATGCTACTGTGAACAAATGGCAGTAAAATCTTAAGAATCGAACCTGCACATGGCCATCAGATTTTTGTTGTAAAATGAAGATACTGTACAGATTTATGGCAGCTATACTTTTGTGTCTGTACTGTAGGATTGTGATGTGTATCTGGCTGAGGCTGTTGTTGTTAATCAATAGATGTATCACTCTGAGCATTTCATATACATTATTGTACGGCATAATATCATTTAATATAATGAAATTTATTACATACTTACTAATAAATATGGGTTTTTAGGTCATCTGAGTTTTAGCTCAAGTGACCTATTGCTATCTGTCTTCGTCCGTCGTCTGTTAACATTTTACATTTTCAACTTAAGCTGAAATACTGGCAAAGGGATTTCATTAATATTTCATGGGAAGGTTACTGACATCTCCCTGACCAAGTGTTGTTATTTTTCGGGTCGATCAGAAATCCAATATGGCCGCCACGGCCGCCATTTTGAAAAACTATTTCAAACTTAAAGTCAAGTTCTGCTGGGCCGATTGAACTGAAACCTGGTAGGAATGATCGACTCATGGTCCTGACAAAGTGTTGTTATTTTTCGGGTCGATCAGAAATCCAATATGGCCGACACGGCCGCCATTTTGAAAAACTATTTCAAACTTTAAGTCAAGTTCTGCTGGGCCGATTGAACTGAAACCTGGTAGGAATGATCGACTCATGGTCCTGACAAAGTGTTGTTATTTTTCGGGTCGATCAGAAATCCAATATGGCCGACATGGCCGCCATTTTCAAAAAACTATTTCAAACTTAAAAACAAGTTCTAATAGGCCGATTTAACTGAAACTCGGTCTAGGAATGATCAGCTCATGGACATGACAAACTTAAGTTAACGTTATACTTAACTATTTTGTACTCAAATTGGTACATATTTCAACAACAAAAATAAATACTGTAGGACTCAGGTGACCGTTTAGGCCCATGGGCCTCTTGTTTGTATATCCGATACGACACAATTGCTCTAACCCATATCAGCCCTCGCCGTATCACACCCCAAAAGCCGTATCACCTGTATCAGCCCGTAAAACCTGTATCACACCTCTTTTGGATATATTTCGTTTTTCGATATTTTAAAAGAAAAATAGATCATAAGATAGTAGCTTTTATTTAGTAAGTATGTAATAAACAGAATAAAACACGCCTTTTTCCATATCACACCCAGTATCAACCCATATGGAAAAAGGCATGTATTATTCTCTATATATTAAACAAGACAAGTCTTTAATTTTTAGCCCACCGTCATCTGATGGTGGGCAATTCAAATCATCCTGCGTCTGTGGTCCGTTGTCCGTCCGTCCGTCGTCCACCGTCCGTCCTTAAACAATTCTTGTTATCAGTATTTCTCAAGAAAGTACCAGAGGCATCTTTCTCAAATTGTATATGTAGGTTCCCCTTGGTCCTGAGCTGTGCAGGGCAACTTTTGAGATGGATCGGATAAACAACATGGCCGACAGGCAGCTATCTTTGATTTTGATAGTGAAAGTTTGTTATCACTATTTCTCTGGAAGTACCAGAGGAATCTTTCTCAAATTGTATATGTAGGTTTCCCTTGTTCCCTTGTTGTTGCAGCAGTGCCTAAAATGGACGATCACTTGCTCGCCAATGGTGGTTATAAAGTCAAAATGACAAACTCACTTTGAAGGTTGGCTTTCATACACATCAGTATTAAGTTAAGATCAAAAGTTACCTCAAGGTGCATTTACTGCATGACTCGATCAAACAGATTAGAGGAAAGAAGAGAAAAGATTGAATTGACAAAGAACTAATGAAGATGGTACAAAGGTGGGTGCCAAGATCCCTCGATCTGGCATCTCTTGTTTCATTTAGGAAGTAAAGGCCCTGCCGAATTAAAAAGCAGCAGTTTATAATACTTACAAAATATGAGTGTATTCAGTGCATGACAAGGAAGTGATATATACTATTTTTTTTTAGAAAAAAGCCTAATTAAAAAAAGTCTACGAAGGAAATATGTGATGGTTTTGAGTTTTTAATAAAATCATGATGAATTTATCGCAGTAAAGTTAAAATCATGTGATAATTGTGTGATAATCACCAGAGGATACCTATCAGGTATTGATGTATCATGATCTTTCATGAAGTTGGTTCTATATGAACCTGTTGTAAAACTGGAAAAGGTAACAGATTTTCAGAAATTCTTTGTCACAATGTTCTTTTCGTAATTAAATATCTACATATAACTAAAATATTACTTTTGTGAAAATCATTGTAATGATGGATAAGAGATGGTCAGCATGTCATTCGCAAGGTTAGGTATGGTGATCAATCATTTTAGAATCCAGAGAACCTTAATTTGAACTGTTTTATTATTAATGGATATTAAGCCTTGTTTGGAAAGTTTGTTAGATATTTATTTACAGAATCTGATATTTTCTTTTAAAAAAGACAATACAAATTGTATTTTTGTTTTTGTTTTCTATTTTTGGTGACCTTTCACAATGATGTACAACATCTTGAAAGACTTGGGAGAAAGTTGTAAGCTATTTCATGACAAACATTTATAGTTCCACAGCGAAAATATTGCTTAACAATATACATGTATATTCATTGCTGAACTGGAACAAATATACAATTAAAGTTTCCTGCTATACATTATTATTTGTTAACTCATCAAGAACTGTTAAGTGATGCTGAGCTTTGTCAGTGTTACATTTCCTTGAAAAGATTATATATATACTCAAAATCTTCCCCACAACCGCGACATCTACGTACACTGCATTTGAAATTGTCTTAAATCCAAGTGTTTCTAAATTTAAATCGCTGCAAATCATTGTCTTGTATACAATCAAAAAGACCTCATATAAGGAGAAAAAACGCATTTAAATAGTATGATAAAACCGTCTGTAAGTTTTTAGGTCACCTGAGCTTTGCTCAAGTGACCTATTCTAATCGCTTTTCGTCCGTCGTCGTCCGTCGTGCGTCGTGCGTAAACTTTTACATTTTCAACTTCTTCTCAAGAACCAGTGGATGGATTTTTTTCAAACTTGGTCAGAATCATCCTTGGTAGATGAGGCTTCAAAATTGTAAAATTGGGATTCCTACCCCAACCCCTGGGGCCAGGGCGGGGCCCCAAAGGGAAAATTAATCAATATTTCAAAAATCTTCTTCTCCAGACTCAGAGGTACTACAGTGATTTTCTCTACGTGGAAAGAAAGATCATCAGGGGCTTTACTTAAATTGTAAATTTCAGGACCCCCGAGCTATCCGTTCTCCCTTGGGGAGGGGGTAAAGTTTACTATAGTTTATATAGGGAAATAACACTTTTGGGTATATTTTGACAACTTTCTGTAGGAAATTATTTTTACTTGGTGAGAATTATCCTTGGAGGTAGATGGTTTCAAATTGTAAAATTGAGATTCCTACCCCGACCCCTGGGGCCAGGGCGGGGCCCCAAAGGGAAAATTAATCAATATTTCAAAAATCTTCTTCTCCAGACTCAGAGGTACTACAGTGATTTTCTCTACGTGGAAAGAAAGATCATCAGGGGCTTTACTTAAATTGTAAATTTCAGGACCCCCGAGCTATCCGTTCTCCCTTGGGGAGGGGGTAAAGTTTACTATAGTTTATATAGGGAAATAACACTTTTGGGTATATTTTGACAACTTTCTGTAGGAAATTATTTTTACTTGGTGAGAATTATCCTTGGAGGTAGATGGTTTCAAATTGTAAAATTGAGATTCCTACCCCGACCCCTGGGGCCAGGGCGGGGCCCCAAAGGGAAAATTAATCAATATTTCAAAAATCTTCTTCTCCAGACTCAGAGGTACTACAGTGATTTTCTTTACGTGGAAAGAAAGATCATCAGGGGCTTTATTTAAATTGAAAATATCAGGACCCCGAGCTATCCGTTCTCCCTTGGGGAGGGGTTAACGTTTAATATAGTTTATATAGGGAAATAACACTTTTCGGTATATATTTTATCCATTTTCAGCAGAAAATTGCTCAAACTTAGTCAGAATCATCTTGGGTAAATGAGAGTTATACTTTGTAAAATGAGGATTCCTTCCCAATCCCCAGGGGCTAGGGTAGGGCTCCAAAGGGAACATTTACCAATATTTTCAAATTCTTATCCATTGATGACATGACAAGTATTGTATTTCACTTAGTTTACATGCTGATTTCCACATCACATCTAAACAATAAAATAAAGCTACCAGTACCTATGATATAACTCAGGTGACCGCTAAGGCCCTTGGGCCTCTTGTTTTATTTAAAATAAAAGTATTAACTTGCTAGTGGGTATGTACTGCATTTGATTTGGTTAGTATACAACAGATTGTCAAAATCACATGTGTGGGAAAAACCATGGGTTTACCAGATTGGTAATCCACACACGTCAGCAGCTTAGTCCATTTCTCAAGAGAGGTTTAAACTGGATAATACATGCACTAATGCATGGCGGCCAGTCAACAGAAATTGGCCATGTTGCTGCCCGTGTATGGGTGGCTTCAAGCTGATGTCTTGTCTCTACAACAGCTGGAGTCCTACGTCTCCTATCTTCGACACTCGCACCACAGCTGCTTCCATGTCTGCCCTAAATCCAAAGTATTTCTGGAAATTCCCTAGCTGCGATAACGTAGCCTTCTGACGACGATAAATTTGTTTGGCAGAGGAGGCCGGGTATTAATATTAGTTCTTGAAATCCCCATAATCTGATCACCGGGAACGGCAAATCTCGTACTCTCCCAGGGTTCAATATAAGAGTTCTTTTTTCAGAGTACATTTCATACTGTCCTTCACATACACCTTTTCATACCAATGGCTCTAAAGGTCGAGTAGAAGCAGCCTGTGTTGTTGGCAACATACATTGCATATCCTTCCTTTCATGTACCCACTAATGCCTCTATTGTCACAGCTGAAACATTTGTAAATAATCTAGTTGAGGAAAAGATTAAAAAAGAGATATCAACAAGCAATGATCTGCTCCTGTTAGTTTAATCAGTACTACAAAGCATTATAATTAATATTCTTGGTATGAACAAGAATTGAGTTTTCTGTCACTTAATCTTAATTTGGATCCCTGGTCATATCGGAATTGGTGGAAATAAGGGAGCAAATCAGACAAAGCAGCATTTAATCTACAACCTGAAGATGTAAAATGTCTTCTCTACTATCTTCCATATCAAATTTTGTTAAAACCCAATTCGACTGAAGAACCAAAACTGTTTGCAATAGACCTTAGATGAGCTATTGTGCAACTAGCAGATCAGACCGCTGAGAGAAAGTAGGTTACATGGGCCATACCTATATTTCTCTCCTTACATTTTACAAACTGAAGGTCAACTTTATTGTTTGCAATCAACCACGTACAGACCAATATGTTATTACTGATTACAAAGATTGAAACAAACACGTAACACATTTTATTATGTACCAACTTGATATAGTTTTTGTGCCATTAATATATGATTATTATATATATACATACAATTGAACTTTACGATTAAATAAATTATACAATGTCGTTTTCTATCGATGTTTTTTGCAAACACTTCTGATCCTTTTAGTTTAAATTTGATGTATTACTTTTTGTGAGCGTCTCTTTTCACAGATTTGTTGGCCCGAAAATGTCGATGGGTCGTAAAATGTTTAAAAAAATATCTCATGCACTCATCCATCGTTTATCTTTTCAGCCAGTCTGTCATAAAGTTTACGATTCCTCACACCGCACCTCCCATTAAGCCTTTTACTACCACCATCGTCCCCTGTTGCAACCAAATGTTCAATGGAGAAAAAAATTCTACAGATTGTCCATCGTTTCCCACATACGCATCATCAATAATTAAGTTCTGGTATAATGTTGCATCCTCTCGTTATCCTAAGCTAGGAGTATATGCTAATTTTTATACGCCTGTCGAAGACGGGGACGTATTATGTTATCACGTGAGCGGGCGGGCGGGTGGGCGGGCAAACGATGTCCGCTCGATATCTCGAGTAATTATTAACGGATTAACTTCAAACTTCACAACAAGGTTAATTACCATGAAACCTCGGACAAGTTCGATAACCGCCATTATCTGACCATAATTTCTGGAGTTATGCCCCTTTATGGATTTGCCAAAACAGTGTCCGCTCGATATCTCGAGTAATTATTAACGGATTAACTTCAAACTTCACAACAAGGTTAATTACCATGAAACCTCGGACAAGTTCGATAACCGCCATTATCCGACCATAATTACTGGAGTTATTACCCTTGGTTTCATTAATGCGATGCATGCGTTCCATGATGTTGTATTGCACTCATTGATCTACCAGTTATGTTGAATGATTTCTCTTTTAATATCAATTACTCACAAATACTTCATATATTTCATCATACAAACAACTGCTCATTCAATGTGTGACGGGCGTATTATATACCGCTCGCGGTAACCTTGTTTCGTTTTGTAATAGCATATACAAGGTATCTGCCTCCAATTTAATGGATATATACTATACATATAATATATTGTTGGTACTGAATTTCTCGGAATGACAAACCTGTGTTAAGCTTGTTTCGAGAATCATATTTTCAAAAATGTCCAACCAATATAAATGATGCGTACAGTAACGCAAAAGAACACTTTTATTTCTTCGAAATGAGCTATTAATTTCGCTCTTGACTTGAAGAAAAAAATTGATTTTGAGATGTTCAATTTAGCGAATCTTCGTGTTTCCGTTAGTCGGACATGATCGCAAAACAATGTCAATTCAATAATCTATACTGAGAAGCTAAATAAACCGATGTAAACTAATGTGTTATGAAAGTTCATGCCAATCCTGGTTCGTCAACTTACGTGTCTTCTTCTTACGCCCCCCTACGTATACATGGACCCCACAGAACAGAGATTGGCCTCGTTCAGATGAGCTACGATATCGCATTAGTATGTAGTAGAAGAGTATCTGTTGTGTTCAGTAATGAAGACCGAAATTAGTTTGACTACTTTATCCGCAGAAGGAAAAGGACAGTCTATAGTGTCGCAACCTCACACCACCACTGTTTGATATATCATCGGGTTCGACAGGTATTTTCAATATTGATACAGTACGTTACTGCACAAAAAATTGAAGTACGAAAATACAAAGAGCTGAGGGAATTTTACATGTAGCTTACTGATGAATGATATGGCTGTCAGTCAGCATATAATTTATCCACAGGACGATGGTATGCACAGTCCGCCTTTTTGTGTAATATAACAAGAATAAACCCAACGTGTTTGTACTTAATCATAACTGTTTAATCTATTGAACAATGCGGCATTTTGATTTTTAATATTAAGAGTAAAAATAAGGACACATACTCGTACAGAGTGTTAATATAATATGCTCGATAATGTTTTAAAACAAATTGTTCTCCACAGCATGGTGTATCAGCCTAGTGATTGGTCGGGTGTTTTTATCCCTGACAAATCAAATAGCTAGCCGCGTGCTTTCAATTTTGCTATTACATATTCCAGGAGTGTATAGAGCGTAAGCTAGCGTAAACTGTTGAGTAACGAGGAAAAGATCACATCAGACGACGACGAAGGTTACTGAACCCCTATGCAATACAATGAATATCTTCAGCAGTCATGATAATTTGGATTTGAATAGTACGTAGTAATGTAAAAGAAAAACCCACCGAATTGTGTGGTATCAATTTTAATTCAGAATTTCAATTCTGGAATGTTTACAACAAGAAACCCGAGAATAACTTCACAATAGTCGCAGTTCGTTATTGGGTCAAGTGGACAAAATATTACTTCATCTTAAACAGAAAGATGCAATTACTGTCCATAAATGTTACGGAAAACAAACTTTTCAGTATATCAAAAAGTATTTCAATAGTTAAGAAATGATGTCACTTTCAGCCATTTTCTTTTTGATAACAACATTTTCATCATAATAAATGTGCCAATAACAACATTCAGCAGATTGAGACTTTTATATTTCCCAACAAGTTGCGGCTATCATTTGATTGTGACTCGAGATCAATAATATATAATCTTTTAAACGACAAAATAATTAGATGAAAAATAACAATAAACTTTTATCACAGGTTTGGCGGGTGTTTTCTCCCATTCCGTGCACTGTTTGTACCTTAAAAAAAACGTTTGAAAAAAGTATCTTTTACTTTAGCAAATACATAATTTCAATCTCTGATTAGGATTTTAAATCGCCTGAAACAATGTCACAATGCAATGATATAAATGTAAAAAATATGTAAATTATGGGAGAAAATAATTTGCTCAGTAGACAGAAATTACATCTGCTCATATCAAACTTATTTATATCAAATACGTCAATACAGGATGTACAGAAATATTTTGAGCACGTGTTATGAAAACTTCAATAAATTAAATAATTTTAAAAAACACTTCGAACGCACTTATATCACAGACAAATACAAAAAAAACTTATATTACAAAACATGCTTTTCACTTGCATAAATAGCATTATGAGGACAGAAGAGCCGCGTCCCAGCAACCCAGTGAGATCCATTAATACATGTATATGTACCTCATAATCCATCAGTTGCCTCACGATCCAGTCTTCTTTAATCCATTCATATGTATAGCTCAAAATGTAGTCATTTTACAATCCATTTGTATACCTCGCAATTCACCATCTGCCTCATATTTCAGTCAGTGTGCACAATCAAGCACCCATAATACATACAAATTTGCCTGCAACAAAGGTGGCTTTATTGAGATGACTTTAATTCCGGATATCTCTATTTAACAAGTGGTACAGTAAAACTAGATTAGAAATGAACGGATTACTGAGGCTCTACCTATTCCGTCTTTTCGTATTGCAGAGTTATCTAGTCTTGATAGCAGGTATTGATTGTTACGTCATTTGTTCGTGATAGTAGCGTCATCATTTTGTTTTAGAAAACGACGTAATTTTCTCACACAAACTAATGACGTAACAATCAAAAACTGCTCACAAGAGAAAATAACTCTGCAAAACGCAAAGACGGAATACTCCAATGATCACTCACAGAACATATCCATGGAACGGGCTCCCCATACACATGCATGTAGCCTAAATCCCTCCTATCACTCCCATTTTCGCAAGTCTTAAATCTTTCTTTACACACCCTCATCAGAGAAATAAATTAAAAAGAACTCCCTCACACACCCTCACCATCGCAAAAAGTTTTCTCTTTTAACACCCTCATCCTCAAACACAGGTATACAATTTTGATGTGCTATAAAACGTATATTCGGAACTTCTCCTGACAGTATCGGGTGTACAATGCAATGATTTTGCAGATGTCACACATATGCATACATTAATTTATAGTTTTTCTGAAACAAATGTGGCAAGAACCATCCATATAACTGAGTGTCAGCTGTCACTATTCCATATCTTATGAGTCGATAACTTTTATCATTGTATACATGTCTATTACTGGTATGGCCGTCATATTCGTATCTGATACTCTGCTGGATCTGTAGATTTCCTTTTCACGGCACCATTATCCAATGAGTTCATGGTTGTTTGTCTTAAAAAATATTCAAAAATATAAATTGTTAAAAGGGCGAACATCGGAGTACCTACAATATTCGAGTTAATGAGCTTTATTCGAAATTGAATACAACTACTACGTTATTAACTGTATGCAGTTTCAATCCAATTATTGTAATGGAACACCAGAGGTGTAAGTATGATATGTATACTATGGAAACTAGATACGCATATATTACCTTTATACTATGGACACTATATACGTATATGACACCTTTATGCTATGTACACAAGATACGTGTATAACACCTTTATACTATGGACACGAGATACGTATATAACACCTTTATACTATGGACACGAGATACATGTACAACACCTTTATACTATGGACACTATATACGTATATGACACCTTCATACTATGGACATTTGATACGTATATAACACCTTTATGTTATAGTCATCAGCTACGTATATAAAACATTTATACTATGGACACGTGATACGTATATAACACCTTGATGCTATGGACACCCGATACCTATATAACACCTTTATACTACGGACACGTGTTACGTATATAACCCCTTTATACAATGGACACGAGCGACGTATATTAAATCTTTATACAATGGACACGAGCGACGTATATTAAATCTTTATACAATGGACACGAGATAAGTATATAACACCTTTATACTATTGACACGAGATACGAATATAACACGTTTATACTATGGACACGAGTTAAGTATATAACACCTTTATACGTATCTCGTGTCCATAGTATGAAGGTGTCATATACGTATATAGTGTCCTTAGCATAAAGGTGTTGTACCTGTATCTCGTGTCCATAGTATGAAGGTGTCATATACGTATATAGTGTCTATAGTATAAAGGTGTTATATCCGTATATAGTGTCCATAGTATAACGGTGTTATATACGTATCTCGGGTCCATAGTATAAATGTGTTGTATTCGTATCTCGTGTCCATAGTACAAATGTGTTATATACGTAGCTGCTGACTATAACATAAAGGTGTTATGTACGTATCAAATGTCCATAGTATGAAGGAGTCATATACGTATATAGCGTCCATAGTATAAAGGTGTTGTAAATGTATCTCGTGTCCATAGAATAAAGGTGTTATATACGTAACACGTGTCCGTAGTATAAAGGTGTTATATGCGTATCTCGTGTCCATAGTCTAAAGGTGTTATATACGTAACTCGTTTCCATAGTATAAAGGTGTTGTACATGTATCTCGTGTCCATAGAATAAAGGTGTTATATACGTATCCCGTGTCCATAGTATACATGTGTTATATAGGTAGCTGATGACTATAACATAAAGGTGTTATGTACGTATCAAATGTCCATAGTATGAAGGAGTCATATACGTATATAGCGTCCATAGTATAAAGGTGTGATATACGTATCTCGTGTCCCTAGTATAAATGTGTTATATACGTAGCTGATGACTATAACATAAAGGGGTTATATACGGATCAAATGTCCATAGTATGAAGGAGTCATATACGTATATAGTGTCCTTAGCATAAAGGTGTTGTACCTGTATCTCGTGTCCATAGTATGAAGGTGTCATATACGTATATAGTGTCTATAGTATAAAGGTGTTATACACGTATCTCGTGTCCATAGTATAAGGGTGTTATATACGTATCTCATGTCCATAGTATAAATGTGTTAGATTCGTATCTCGTGTCCATAGTCTAAAGGTGTTATATACGTAACACGTGTCCGTAGTATAAAGGTGTTATATTCGTAACTCCGTGCCATAGTATAAAGGTGTTAAACACGTATCTCGTGTCCTTAGTATAAAGGTGTTATATAGGTATCGGGTGTCCATAGCATCAAGGTGTTATATACGTATCTCGTGTCCATAGTATATAACACCTTTATACTATGGACACTATATACGTATATAACACCTTTATAATATGGACACTATATACGTATATAAGACCTTTATACAATGGACACGAGATACGTATATTACACCTTTATACAATGGACACGAGATACGTATATAACACTTTTATACTATGGACACGAGATACGTATATAACACCTTTATACTATGGACACTATATACGTATATAACACATTTACACTATGGACACGAGATACGTATATAACACCTTTATACTATGGACACGAGATACGTATAGAACACCTTTATACTATGGACACTATATACGTATATAACACATTTATACTATGGACACGAGATACGTATATAACACATTTACATTATGGATGCGACCTGTACATTATGAACTCCAGTTGTGTACTTACGATCTGTAAATTTTGGAGGCTTGTTTCAAGCTGTTGCTTGCATAGGTGTCCCTGCCAGTGGTCATGTCGATGGAGGTTATTGTTTTCCTTGGCGAAGTAGGATTAGTCATCCATGACCGGGACTGTGAAAACAAAACAGAACTATACTGTTAAACTGGGTCTAAAGAAAACAAAAAAATATATGCATATACTACATTTCATTATTTTATAAATGACTTCAATTTAAAATAAACCCTATCTTGCTGACAGGAACACATCGCCATAAAGCAGACACACTATACCATCTACAGCTATTACACGCGAACACAAAATGAATCAACTTAACTGTCCATGTACCATATGAAAATCCTATGGGTGAACAACGTTTTCTTAAAGGCCTATACAAAGGATTCTGCCAAGAAGTGTGAAATGTAAACTGTATCTTTTGTCTCTGGAGTCACACAAAATACTGGTAGACACAAATGATGTCAAAATGCACCAAGAAGCAAAGACAGTTGCTGACGTATAGTAATGGACCGGTATCATATTTAATTCAGATTTAATTTGCTTTGTACAAGTTAGATCAGTGACATAATGAAAACATTATTTTTTCGCCTTATCCTTATAAACCAGTTCGATAAACATTTCACTGTACATACCCTTTACCTAAATAGATTAGACATGAAGGAAATATTTACTAATTATAGTACATGTATTTAATGGTCCAATGACACAATATTTATACAGGGCCACAGATAAAGGTGTGCCAAGAGACACAATTAAAATGCTGAAAAAGAGTATAGAAAAGTAGAAGCACATTAGCAACTTATAGCACTGGCATGTAATAATAGCATTTCGTAGCTTTACTGCCTTCTATACGAGGGTTATTTCATTTTTAAAACAGTTAAATCTCCTTGAACGTTTGATATAACCAATGTTTCACAATGAATTAAATATAATAAGCCATTAAGGCCACGGGCGCGATTTGTTAACATAAAAAGTAAGCTTTAGATGTATGCAATTATCAATGAAAAAGAAAAAAAAGATTAAACAAAAATTGGTACCTATTACTCTTGATAATATATGCTGAATGGTGAAAGTAAGTGTATATAGGTACTATTCAAACGTGAAATGTAGTTGATTATGTTTCTAAGCATACAATTACTGTTCTGTTTTAAATATAATTAATTACTTAAACGATACTTGAATTAAGACTTTCAATTCTTAGTCCCTTGGTTATTTTTTGTTTGAAAATCGAATGCTCTTTCACACGATGATGTCGGTTTTTATGATCAAGTTTGAAAGTCGATTATTATACCTTATATCGATAGTAAGTATTGCCAAGAAGATAACATTGAAGTATTTATATTTACTTTTGCCTCTTAGTATATGTTTGTCTGAATCTGTTTGTTATCATACAAAAATCTTCTTCTGAAACACCAGATGTCAATACAATGTATACATCAGAGCCATTACAAGACTGTTCTTTATCTACAACCAGTAGCTTTCAAACAAACACTTATTTGGTAAAAATAAAACAATTGTCGTTAGGACATGGTATATACGTATAAAGTCATCTTATACGTTGTTGATATACAATAACCAACTTCGTCGGTCTGGTCAATTTGATTATTTTCGTTTATACAGGTTGTGATACATCAAAAAGCCTTTAGAAGATGACATCAATGCTGCCAAAATGATTTATCTTGCACACATATAAGACTCTGCAGCAGTGTTGGACAACGACATGCACAAAACATCATTACAAAAATCCTTTCGAAAAATTGACAGGTAACTTCTAATCTGTGTTCTTATAGTGTCCACAGCACTAATCCACAATGCAAGTTTATCTATTGTATGAATATATAAGTTAGACTCAAATTCATTTGTCAACTTTAAATTATTGGAATTACAAAGCTTGAAAGATGGGTTCCTGCTGAATTTCGTAATTCTAGAGTACTACATACACTGCATTTGTGTAAAACAGTTTACAGCAAATGAGCAGTATAATGATCTCATTGTGTTTTGTTTACACTTCCAAAACTATTTCGAATGACTGTGAGCTAACAAGCAGTACGTACTTTCTTTTTGTGGCAGAGGTTCAGTCTACTCTCAGGTTCAAAACATCTTTGATTATTTAGAAGATACTCCTAGTGTTCTATGGCTTGTAAAAATGCAGTATACGTAAGCAACTGGTAACCCATCTTAAATTGCATATTTCAAAATTTAAAATAAATCAAATTGGTGAGTATATACATGTTATTCTGCATGCACTATACCTACTACGTAAACTTATCAAAATGTACTGAGTGTCTGACAGTTTTGGTATTGTCTGTCTGTTAGATAATTACAAGGCTGCCAAGTCACTTATCTACGAAACCTTCATTTTTGTATATTTTTGCATCTTTTTATTACCTTAATTGATCATTTTTTACATTTAAATTACGTTCTTAAAAGGAAGAATTATTATGGCTATTGTTAATAGAATTTTCAATGTTGGATTTCCTTTGCGTTCAAATTACCAGGTTGTAATTTGTGAGAGTCTAAAGCGTGCCGTCCAGCATCTTACGAGCAACAACTTCATATTAATTGAGTGACCATCGCAAACAGATAAATTCACAACATTGGAATTTTGTTTGTGTATACAAATCAAACAGCCCATGACTATATCGTCCTGATAACTCCATGTTATTTCTCGAATAGGCCAACTCACCTTTGTAATGTTATATATAACCTTTTTGCTGAACCGTATGCAATCAAAACAAATTTGGACTCATCCCTCAAATAACAAATGTCGTGTCACTTAAGTCAAATCTAAAGAACTATTACTCGTTGATGCGATACGATGTATATAGATACTTTAAGGTCAGTCACAGATAAAAATTAAAATTAAAATACTACGTTCGTTATTAGCAAACATGTACTAGTGCCATTAAAGATGTCCATGAAATAAATACATTAATGCATTAATGCTAAGAAAAGAGAAACTAAACATGGACATGAAATGGTGAAATGCGTTACACTACAACATGTTTATATCCATGAGTGTGTATTGTGTTACAATATCAACACATTGTCATGATTTTATTCGGATTAATATGTCATTATACCTTATGAGCATTTATGGAGGGAAACTGAAAGTTTGAAAAGAAATCAAATCAGTTCATCCTGTTAATAACATATATTTTCAAAATATGAAAAGTATGATAATAAAATAAAACATTTATGTAGTTCTTCTTTGATCTGAATACAATAATTGATTCCTTCCACACAAACAATACATGTATACAATCATAATAATTGTCGTGAAGGCATGGCCCGAAATGGTGTAACTTTACACATATTCTCTAAAGCTCGTTATGTACCAGTAAATCCATCGTCGGATACCCACGGTTGATTTCGCTTCGGGAGTGAGTACCGAAGCGAAATCAACCGTGGGTATCCGACGATGCAGTAAATCACAAAGCGATAACTCAAAAGATATAAAAATGCATACATACAATTGCAAAATAGATTCAAAGAGTTAACAATTGAAAAGAAGAAAAACACCATATTCCACTCTAGCCATAATATAGAATCACTCTTTTACAAATGAACAGTCCCGATCTGTCTGAAAAATAAATTTTACTATGTTATGTTTATTGCTCAAAACCCTACCCATATTGTGAATTTAGTGCCACATGACATGATAGGGATGCTTGGTAATTGTATTTACATTATTTGTGGTTACACATTTATAAAATGCCTTTTCATTTGAAAACTATTGTGAAGCATTTAACACGATAGACAGATTGTGAAAATTAAACAAAAAAGTATTAATAATGTGTTTATATCAATGTCGTTATATGCAGTGAAATCATCTATTTTTAGTGTGGTCATTATTAACGAACTGCTGTCTAAAATCTGTTAACTTTTCACAAGTTAATATTTTAACTTACACTTTAGAAGTGGTAACAAATATTGTCAATTCAATCTTGAAAATGTGCAATTTCACATATTCTTTTTGGGAAAAGATGAAAAACCAATTTCCATTGTATATGATACATGTATATTATAAAATGATACACGTTTTTAATAATTTATTGCAAAATATGACTGTTAATATATTAAGTTTGTGATCGGATCAAAACAATCACAATGTGGAATGACTGGAAAACAATGAATAACACCCTCAATTAAAAAGGTATACTGTTTAAATTTAAGCAAACTCGTCAATGCGAAGAATTGGTATTTTAAAAAAATGTTAATCAAACAGTAAGTATTTGGGTATAATTAACACTCGTCATTAACCATCTCGTAGTTAAAAAAAATCAGTAGCTAAAAAATAAAAATAAATAGCTCAGGGAAGAGCTTAAAGTAGCATGTGAAGTTAAGATGATTTCGTGGCCAAATTGGTCAGTTTGGTTTGGTGTTAGATGGCAGATTGTTCTGCCTTATTGTTATTGAATTTGCATGCATACGTGTTTGTACTCGTGCATATCAAATAGAAACACGTGTTTTATCAGTCATATATGCCAATCAGTGTTTTTCTGTTTTCCTCAATAATTTTCACGATAATTACCTTTTTTAGAGTTATAATCAATGTAATGGGAATTACTTATTGAATTTCGTTTTATCATCATATTCCCACATAAGTGACTCTCGTTGACATCAGGCATTGCCATTTGGCGCTAGGTTTGGTCTGTAAGTTATTAGCTGTTAGATCTGAATATATAGCAGGGCAAATGACAAGATACAGCTAGCGGGCATGCTGTAGAATACAGCTGGCCTACCTTGCGGCTGGAGTAAAGTGTTACTACAGTGCAGTCATGAGCTTCCCTCTGTGCCTGATCGAGTTTAAGTTGTACACATACATTTATTTGTAAAGGCAAAGACTGAATTTTCATAAATGATCTTAGTTTTATCTGTTACCATAGAAATTTGACAATCATTACCATCATTGTACACACACACAAAAAAAGAGAAAAAGTCTAAAAGCTTGAATATAACAATCAAATAACATTCATTTAAGCATATCGATCTTGATTATTTCTAAAATTAGATTATGACACTGGATCTGCTTTCTGTAATGATATTGTGGCCAATAGACACGGGATATTAAACGTAGTTAATTAAAAAAAAAAATAGATCCTATAGTTGTATGCATAAAACGTATTCGTGTGCAAAATGAAGGATAATTATCCGAGAGAATCTATTTATCAGGATACTTGTCTAATAGTTTATTACGTGTACACATCTTTATGTATATTATCCTCTGAAATAATAGAAAAAAAGTTAAACTGTACCGAATTTGAAAGTAAACAAACAAATGGTGACCTTCACCTTTCCAACACTTATTTCTTCATAGGGAGCAACAAAAATGCATATTAACTTACAAGAACTTACGTATAGAGTAAAACACTACCAATATATCATGATCTTTACAAACATTATCTTAACTAAGGTTTTAAGTACTTCGAACTTTTTAATAACAGAAGACTACCGAGAACATTTATAGGGTATAAAATGTACAATATTTAGCATGCATCTATTCCGAATGAAGAACCTAACAACAGAGAAATAATACAAATGCAGTCGCACATGCATACTACTTTAGTTATATAGATATCTTTAAATATAGATGTAAAACTAGATGGGTGTTAACAGAAAACGAAAAGAAAACGTGATACGTGACAGCGCAAACAAAATCAAATATTATACAAAGAATATTATATTATTCAGTGCAGTTTTCTGATTTTCAGATTACATATGCGACTAAAATGTAATGTGACAACGTGAATAAGTGTACTTCTAATGTTACAAGGCACTGTGTATAAAATGAAGGTTGAGTTAAGATCTTAAACAACTGTCACATAATATAGAAAAATACACAATACATGTATAACACTTCAGTTTTGAGAGAAGACTTTCGAAAGGTTCAGAAATAACAAAGTCAGGACAAACATTGCATTTACCTTGTTAAACGAATTTACAGAAAGTGATAACTACTCTCTAAAGGGAGTGTTGTACTCAAAACTTAGTACAGATCACAGAAAATGCGATTAGCATGTGGCATATAAGTACAATGACAGGTGAACAGGTGAACAGGTATGTGTGTGTAGGTATAGTAATATTTATATACTATAGAAAACATACTTTGTGAAATAATATCTATTACATTTGTACACTTAAGAAATAATCTTCAGTGGCAAGTTTACCTTTATGTGAGCGTAACTAGCCTCAGGATTCAGAGAATTAAGTTTGGCCTGATAAAAAAAATACATATTACCATATAGAACAATACACATATTAACTGACTGTATTAATGAATATCACCTGACACATGATAAAGCATCAGAAGGACACTGACTGCCTATGCATTTCATACACTACGCCAAAATGGTTAGGCATACAACATTTGATGGAATATTCATCAACAAAACCTACTCCCATAACATGAGAGGGCGCTAGTCGGCCTTTTTCCAATCGGATATGATTTTGCCGACTGCGACGCCTGTCAAAAGTTTTTCGGCGTGTAAAACCTCTAACATTGTTGGAGTACAACAAAACCATGATAATACTGATCTCGACAACGTAGAATTTCACAACTGTAATACGAACCATACATACGATTAAGGTACACTTGTGCTGGGGGAACGGGATTCATGGGACATGTGTAATAATGATTAGAATATTAAGAAAAGTAAGTCTTACTTTTGTTCGAATCTCCTTGGCAACAACATCAAGATCTTTGGCTATTTCTTTCGGGCTCGATTTATTCATGTTTATAGTAAGGGCCTACAAAACAACCATGGTATTAATATTTACTGACTGCAGATAGAACTCCCAACACATGTAACCGTAGTTTTAGATCATAATTCTATTATGTTGTTATAGATGAATCACTACCGTGTGAACGGTAAATCTATATATTTAAAATATCGTTTAGAGGACTTCCAAATCTGGAGTTCCGTGTTTTGTAATATCTTTCATGTAATATTCATTGGGTAACTGATCTAAGAATATTTTCTTTTGCACAAATAAAATATCTGAATTCAACCATGTTTTCACAGAACTGCAGTACATAATTAGCAAAATATAAAGAAGAGTCAATTCGGTATTTTGTCCATTTCCAAGAAAAATTAACAATTTTAATAAACCACGCAAATATTTCACTTACCCTATGAGTGATACAACGGAAATGAACAGCACATTGCTATGTATTTGTAAGTCAAAATATAACATAATTATATTTAGTTCGTCGAACAGAACGTACCTTCCAATTGATAAACTCATAGCTGTGAGGATCATGTGGCACCGGAAGCCCAGTTTTTACCTTTCTTACTTCGTGTTTAACTGGAATTAAAAATTCATTCGTAACAAACATTTATCTGTTTATATATATATATATATATATATATATATATTATAGAGATCTATAAAGATACTCCTATAGTAAGGTTCAGTGTCATCTCGTGTATCAAACACTTAGTTCATATTTCCTTTATTACAAAAACTTCCTTCTGTTATTTTTTTTTCTTTTTTTTTTCTAACAAACAATGGCATGACAATATTGTGACGAATCACTAATTTCATTAAATGATGGGCTGATGTAACAGGCAATGGGTGATCAAAAATGTCACTAAATAAATATATGTAATATCAAGAAAAAACTTACACATATTGTAAGATCTTTCAAATTCAAACACCAGTTCTGATAGAGACTGAAAATACAACGAATGATTAGGAAACAATAGTAAGAAAGTAACCCTGAACAAAGATGATACAGGTGATAATTTATTTACATGTTAGCAATCCATTTATTACATAGTAACACATATTTAACTTTTAGCAGAGTATCAAGTGTTGCTTATAGACATTAATGTTCAAGAAGCAAATCATGAATATAAATATTTGTTTTAGATTCTTCCATTCCAGTACACTTAATTATTGGTTGTTTTTTATTCTGATTACCTTATAAACAACAGGTTTGTACATCAGTTCGTCCCTCCTACTCATGCCGATGGAGCCATATTTCCCAGCATAGTATATACCTAGTACCACGTGTCTATGTACATTTCCACCAAATACACTTTTAAAACTGAGTGGAAAGCGTTCAACACCAAGGAAACCATTTGTCAAAAATCTGTTCTGTGTGAAGGGTAATATCACGTTTAAAGATGAAAATACGTATAGATGGACATGCATCATTTACTATCATAAAGTGTATTTAAAATACAACAATTTTATAGATGATCATTTTGCTGTAACTCAACTATTGTCTTTATTTATTCATCCTTGCAGGAGCACAGAAATATATTGAACGGTTAAATGGCTACAATTTTACACCAGAAAGACACAGAGAGCTAATATCCCTCAACAATTACTGTGTGTATTCATATTTATCCATCAATATATATCAATTAGTTTCTGAGTGAAGGATACAGCCCGAGAATCACAGCCTCCAAACACTTGATGGGAAGAGCTTCTTTGATCATTTCTCTGGCAGAGTCCATCAACCTGAGACATCAATGAAACATAATAACATATAATATACAGGAGTCGTGCAATTATTAATTGACCATTGCTCTGCAGGATTACAATAAATCATAGCTCAACTTCCTATGTAAATGACTGTTAAAGTAAAACCTTATATACGGAGTGTGGAATATATTCCTACCCTGCAGGCAAAATGGGTTGGCGTTCTGTATTAGACTTTTAAGTATATGAATACATGTATATAGGATGTAAGCACAGTATGAAGGCATGGTATGTTGATAATAAAGGTTTAATGTGTATGTATATGGAATCACATAAGTAAAGCTCCTTACCCCGATACTGGCCTCTGCTTCCTTATCTCAAAAAACTGTGTCCCAGTATGGTTGTATCTTGAGTAGATTAAGGACAAATGTTGTTTTAAAAACATAATAATTGTTCGTATAACTAAGTACATATAAATATATATACGTAAAATATTTCTTGAAATCTTTAAATGTTCCTTCATTCACATTGTAGATATGAAATGTATGATTCACATATTGTTTTGCTTTCCAAAGGATACTGGAGTGACTTCATATAGTTCTGAACCTTGTCCAGTCGATCTTGGACTGGCATGGACGATGGAAAATTCAACGGTGCTTGTTGTATTGGTATCTGGAAATAAAGTCACATCTGTAATGATATTTATTGATAGCAAAGAAAAATGACTGACTTAACATGATTAAAAATTGAAAATATAAACTATGTTTATTTTACAGCAATTATGAAATAAGTTATTGCAACTTATATGTATCACTCTTGTTGGCCCAGATGTTAGCGCGCGGGGAGGGGTCTCTTAAACTGGGAGGAAACCAGAATACCCGGAGAAAAACCTGCCTGATCTAGCAGGTGATCCCAAACCTAAGTTTTCACGTCCGATATCGGGGAATCGAACCTCGTCCGCCTGGGTGAAGGCGAGTGCGTTATCCAATGCGTCACCCGACAAACCTTAACATAATTTATAAACATTTATAGCTTCATCATTACATTTTAATATTATGCAAGCGGGGGAAAGAAACCCATATGACATTTGGCCATATAATTTTAATATATTTGTTGACCAAATTCAGTGAAATTTGTCTGTTTGTCTAATCTTGGTACCTCCAAGGGGGCACTGATTAAAAATTTGGAACCTTGAAATACGCTTTCCAAAATATTGTAAACTTTCAAGCGTCTGAAATACCTTAAGGTAATATCAAACCAAAACAAACTTTTGATCAGTACACACTTATTGCTTAACAACTTAGTAGATATCGACACGAAAACAAAATGTTGTGAATGTCCGAATTTGACAGAGGATGGACTATTGCCCTGCTTTTGCAAGGGCAACCGCAACATCGTGTCGCTCCACAATTTGGTTTGCATCATACGGGAATGTTAGGAGATCGCCCGGGAGTGGACGTCCGCGTGAAACGTCGCGATGTCAGGACATGTGTTTATATCTGTCAAATCTCCAGATACATTTTCAAACGGCGATCAAAGCGCCAACCAATTGGTTTGTAAACTTGAAACATTTAGTTTTTTTCTAAAAATTGAAGTTGAAGCCCGAGGGTTGTTTTTATTTCATCACTGTACCATGTATTTATAGAATGTCGTATTTCAACAAAATGTAACGATTTTAGTGTTCAATGTTGTCATCATAATAACAGGTATTATCACAAACAAATGTTTCTAGATCTTTTTTCATCTGTGGCACTTACACCTAACCCTAGTCCGAATTATTCTGACGTTTTATCGACTTTTTTCATATCGGTCTGTCGTCGATTAATCGACGACAGACCGATATGAAAAAAGTCGATAAAACGTCAGAATAATTCGGACTAACCTAACCCATGCTTTATAAACTACATTTAAGGATTGCGCAGCGTCTGTCTATCAGTTGTTAATATTGGCTTTAATGCCTACTCCTCCCAGTTGTAACCTGCTTCACAAATTTAGTATGAAGGATCACACAGGACTGAGACGAAGCAATGATCTTTTAATGAATGAATGCGTTGTCTGTGTTTGGTGATAGGGACGAGGCCCTCTAAGGGAAACGGTGCCGGGGTGATTTAAACGCCGACTCCTCCCAAATGGCTGCATTGGTTGTAATAATGTTTAATCTGAATCTTTAGTAATCTTCTTGGGAATGAAGAGTGGGGCCGGGCATAATGGGTGAAATGGGACGAGATCATGTAAAAAACCTACTCCCTCTGAACCATTGCATGGATTGTAACCAAACTTGGCTAGAAGGAGGAAAGGCAATCCTTTTCTAGATGTAAAATAAGTTGTTTGTACACACAGCATGGGAAAGGATGCAAGTCAAATTAGGAAATCGGGTCATAACTTGTATATTGTCAAGATCGCCTACCTTTAATCACACACTCAAAATTAATGGGCGTCATTAAAGAAATGCATCAATACTACCAGAACTGGCTGAGGGACTTTCATCGCCAAAAGGGTAGGACCTAATACAGACATTGGGTCATTGCTTGAAAAAAATTGAGATTCCTACACTACAACCACTAATGCTTGCAGGATTGGTTCCTTGGGGCTTAGCCTCTGGGTCAATAAATGGAAATTGTCCAGATACATTCCTTCTAAGGGTCTATTCAATCATTCCACAAGGATTAGCTCCTGAGTTATAACATGAATAGTTCAGACCCTCATGCCATCACCTTATGTAAATTACAAGGTAAGAAGAGACAAATAAAGTCATGCTGCCAGGATTGGCTCTGGGGTATTTTGCCACGCTCTTCAGGGACTTGAGTCATTAGGTAGAATTGGATGAGATGCTAACCTCATAATAATGTAGAAACATGCACAATCAACCTACAAGGACTGACCACTATTAGCAAAACAAAATGTTTTAATTCCCAACCCCCTAAAAAAATGTATACAATTTCTAGTAATACAGGGACAAATACAACAATTACATGTTGACAGGATTTACCTGGAAGGGGTCCAGCCTGCCCCTTGGGATCAAAGAAATAGGAAAACTCAAAATCCATTGTTATCGTAAATAAAATTGCTGAGAACGTAGAAACATATACACTTGAAAAACCAAATACACTTGAAAAACCAAATACACTTTATTCATGATTGACCCCTGAGCCTTGCTAGTCCATGATGGCTTAGTAGTTTGTTTAATCATGACCTGGAAGTGGTTACTTACTCTATATCCATGATCCTACCTGGGCATTAGAGTTAACCAGAAGCATCCTTGGGACCTTGGAATTATGTGTAGCTCACCAGAGGACTAATGGGAAAGGCTGCAATCAAGTGATTTGGGCATTTAAGTCTATAATTACCTACTCCTAGACCTCCCAGGAGGGACCAGCAAATCAACTTTTATATAAAGTATAAAGAGTATTTTGCCGTAATTGTTTATAACATAACCAGGTGAATGATACAGGCCCTCTAGGCCCCTTGTTGGTTGTTTAACGAGGGGATGCATCTTAATATTATGTTATGGTAAGATATTTGTCAGATTAATGCATGCACCTAGCTGTTATAATTATATGATCATCGTTGTTAAGCCCTCCACATATATTTTCATTCCGTGTTGCAATATCCTGCTTTAATCTTTCCATGAAGGAATTCATTTGAAATTGTGAGAGCATAACTGACACTGCTATTTGCAGTGTGTGAATACATAGCAAGAGCACTACTGCTATATATATATATATATATAGTTGCATGACTATACTGTATACACACTTGGAAAATAGTTTGTTTTAAAAAGCTTAATTACAATGTTCCCTAGCACTTTCATCAGTGCTTGTTGATGTGATTGTTCTACTCATTTGAAATTTCATATATATTTTACTTTCATAAAATAAAAAACAAATGAATCAGATATGATAGCTTCCTCTTGGTGTTTCGATTTTGTGTGGAAAACAGGGTGTGCTATCAGCTGTTCCTCTGTTGCTGTTCTAGTTATTGACCTTACCTCACAGATAACAACTGGAAATTCTGAATTGTAGGGAAAAACATCAATTCTTGCTGCATTTGTATACCCCTGTCATAAAATGGGGGGGGGGGGCATATATTGTTTGCCCATGTCCACCTATCCTGTTCCATCCAGTTTCAATGTAAACACTCTAGTAACTTCATTTTTTATGGATTTTGATCAAATTTTATACAAAGGTCAAGTATGAGAATACCTCTGACATCTCTGTGCTTAAGGATTCCAAGGTCAAGGCCAAAGTCACGAATGCTATATATAGAAAGTCATCAAATGATTCAATGTCATCACTTACTTCATACTTCAATTCTTAACAGATTTTGATCAAAGTTTATATAGATTTCAGGTATGAGAATACTTATATTTCAAGGTGTGAAGATCAAAGTCGTTGTAACTATTTACAGAACATCATTTATCAAACACTGAACTAATTTCACATGGTGGACAGGGCATATAATGTCTTACATAGATTTTCCAGTTTTATATCAAAGTGAAAAAAAACCAATAAGCTGCATACATGTAGATGTGGCTGATCATGACCGTCTGGTATAATTAAGTGCTCACCATGATGAGTTTATCTGCATCACATGTATACAGTAGCCAGTAGGCCTTTCTCATGTATTTATAGTTTATTTCTTAAATACATATGCCTCAGAAGATTGATGTTTGTTCGCAGCTGACATTCACTGTATGTATGTACCATATTCTGACCTTATCATAAAAAAGTGATCATGCACCTACATGTTCAGGTACCTGAATTATATTGATTTTGAATCAAATAATCATACATCAGATGAAGTGTTGACCACATTGCATAATGCCATTACTCCACATTGGAATATTAAATACACAGTACACCACACACTATACAAGTGTTATAGCAAGGATTGGGTATTCTTTGTACTAAATTAGTTCTCACCTGAGGTAAATCAGATTTGTTCCTGATTTTGTTGATCATGCTGTAACCATCTGGGTGTATTCTCGAGACATGATCCCACATTCGATCCCAAGTTCTATTGTCAATTGGAAATCCACTTTTGTTGACCCAAAATAGAACTCCATTTTCCTCATGCGTGTCATCGTCATTTCCACTTTTAGAACCTTTCACTGTCTTCACCCTTACACAGCCCTTCTCATCTTCTTCTGAGGGTTCAGAAACACGAACTAAAGTTCCAAACGGCGGTAATTGTTCCCGTTGTTTAGATTTCGACATGGCAAATCTATTTACAAAGATATCAAAATTCTAAAACCTGTAATGGAACCTATATGCCCCATTGTGACAATGTGTGACATGACGTAAGCAAATCATCATAAAACGGTTTTGCTAGCTATCATGTCAAAATGTCCTAGCTTGCTCATTATTCGATCAAAGATATCACCATCACAAAACAGCATACACATGGATCGGTGACTGAATATAAACGTACCTGTATAGTATGCCTACTGCATGGTTCAGAACATTTTTAAACAGTGGAATGACTTAACAATAGAAGTAATCTCATCGGACTCTTTAGAAGTGTTGAAGGAGAGACTGTAGCACACTGTGACGCTGTGAGCACCCCTGTTTGATTTCTCTTACGTAAGAACTAACTTACATTTGGATAACTATCTATAAACCTTCAAATTCCTTTTTTCCCATAAGGATTGTTTACGGTGTTGTCAATGTCTGAATCATGTAAACGCTTACCGGAAGTTCTGCATATTTTGCGTGTGAACAAACCACTTAAAAGATCCCGAATGACGGGTACTTTGCTAAGCAAGAAACGTGATGAGCAAAAGTTTAGAGTTAATTTCTCTTTTGAGGACATACCTTGCAATCGTTGCTCTTATGACATTTGGAAATGCATTACAATGCTTCGTCGATCCAAGTTTTTTGAAAAATAGAATGTATTCCAACGCCACTGATGGTAAGATTATTTGGTTGTGCCACGGACTTAATCTAATTTCGTGGTTGTGCACACTGTTTCATCATTAATAATGTATGCTTAAATGAAAGTACACATATCTCTGTAATAAATGATGTTAGTGTACACAGTAACTGTTACCCAAATGCAGGATTGCAACCTATATGCGGGGTTTTACCTAACATGTTTATATCAACATGTACCTTGAGAAAAAAAATTAAAGTGCCTCAACATTTTAAACAAAAAATATATTTTGTATAAGAGCACGTACAGGAGCCTGAAGTTCTGTCAAAATTTAATGTTTACAGTTATACAAAAAAAACACTATAATATGCTTAAAAATCTACTTGGTCGTCGACGAAATCCAGTTTCGCTACATTCCTCCCTCCTTTTCTTAAGTCTTTGCCCACAAATACACCAATTATTTACAACCCAGGTCAGGGTATCCACCTGTCAAGCGTACACCCATGCAATGCTTGAAATAATCACTGGTGACCAACTAGCTCAGTTGGTAGAGCACTGTAATGTTCTAGGTTAACGATATCGTTAAGATCTTAGTTCAAATCTGGAGATGGCTGGCTGCTATATATTATATTTTTACTGTCCTGTTATATTAGTAACTTGTATTTTACAATTACATATACTGTAAAAATGTCAAATAGTACAGGCGATGATGCATTATTGCTAATACATCTCATGTAGTGCTACATGTACGTAGCACTTGTACTCTGATTTAAATAACAAATATATACATTTAGTAAGCCATACTGCTTTCTGAAAATTTCCAAAGAGAAGCTACGTGAAGGGTGAAATGATGCAAGCATTTGAGTATGATGTGAAAGGTACTGTTGTTGATATAGTGTTGACACTAGTACTGTTGATGATATAGTGTTGACACTAGTACTGTTGTTGATATAGTGTTGACACTAGTACTGTTGTTTATTCATGTACTTGAGTGCAAGTACTGACACAAACTGTAACAGCTAGTAAGAGCATTTTAATGGTCTAGGATATATTGTGTCAGCGAAGGCTGTTGTATTGATTACAATTTACAGGGAAAGTATGACCACATGCTAAACATTTTTTTTCCATCACTCGGGTAAAAATCCAAAGGCTTGAAAAAGTTCAGAGTACTGATAGATTCTCACAAAGACATGATTCTATCCAACACTATTTAAAATGCCTCTTACAAATTAGAAATCATCAAGTTTGAGTTTGTAATATGTACTTTAAATAATACAAAGTTCATGGTTCATGGTTCATGGTGGTCGACGTCTTCATAAGCATAGTATTGCTTCTGTTGACGCTTCTTCATAGTTGTTCACATATTTACAGGTTGTGCAGAGGACGCGTATATAACTTATAATACATATTAGTAGCACGATGGTAAAAACTTGATTGGATGGTTGACCCAATGTTTATTGAGTCTAGATTTAAAAACATTCAAGGTTGGGGAATCTACCACAATTGTAGGGAGTTGATTCCAATTATTTACAATTCTATTTTTAAAAGCATGTCCCCTAATGTTGGTCTTGTACCATTTTTTTCATTTTTTTTTTGAGTTTCCCCTCGTATTGAGGTTGTCGAAGGCAGGGATGATTTGTTGGTTGGTTATATCTATGGTGTTTATCAGCTTATAGATTTCTACCATGTCAGATCTTAGTCTTCTGTATTCAATTGATGGTAGCCCTAGCCGACGGATACGCTCAGGGTACGAGACATCTTTAAGGGATGGAACTAGCTTGGTTGCCCTTCTTTGAACATTCTCTATGGAGAGTTGGTCTTTTTTCAATATAGGTGACCATGTGGTGACATTAATTTCAAGGTATGGACGTACCAAGGATTTATGGAGGTTGAGAAACATTTCTTTGTTTATACAACTGAAGGTTTTAATATGAGACCTACAATTCTATTTGCTTTCGATACTGCAGTGTTCACTTGTTCACTAGGTTTTAGGTTTTTGTCGATAACAACACCGAGATCTCTTTCACTTGTCACTAAATCTATTGGATGTCTCTCCCGTTGCTGGGTGATCTCATATCCGACGTTGTTCTTTTCTTGGCCTGTATATATTTGTAGGTGTTTACATTTGTCTGAATTTAGTTCTATCAGACATTTTCCTGTCCATTCGCATACCTTGTTGATGTCGTTCTGGAGTGACAATCCATCCTCAATAGCTTTTGTTGGTTTGTAGAGTTTGGCGTCGTCGGCAAACATTTTGATTTTAATGTCAAGTGACTCAGGTAGGTCGTTTATGTAGATGAGAAACAGTACTGGTCCGAGCACGCTCCCCTGTGGAACTCCACTGGTGACCAGTTTGAATGATGAATACTGACCGTTTACAACTACTTCCTCTTTGTTATCTTTTTATCCTGTACCCTTCCACTTTTTCAATCAGTCTTTTGTGTCGGACCTTATCAAAGGCTTTTTTGAAGTCTAGGTAGATTGTATCAATTTGATTGTTATGGTCTAAAGCTTCTGTCCAGTCCTCAAGGGTTTCTAATAATTGTGTTGTGCATGAACGACCACCTCTAAATCCGTGTTGGTTTTCAGTGATCAGATTGTTATCGTCTAGGTGTTTGACTATAATACTTTGTACTAATGTTTAAAAGTGTGATGTTAACTAATAATTTAAAGTAAGCAGGGCTAACAAAAACCAAAGGTAAATGTAGAAACTAATCATGAAACCAACTTAAGTGGCTCAGTTGAAAGGCAGTTTTGACTCTGCAATTATCAATCCTTGTAATGGATATATGTAGTTGTGTAATCATGTTTACGAAGTAGCTGTATTTGTTGTATCATCAGTACATTATTGATCAATGGACTCATTGCTGTTTGAAAAAAATGATACATGCTGCATGTACCACCTTGTAAAATGGTAAAATTAAATCTGTATTATTTTGATTACTGCTAGTAAAGGAACATCATCATTTGATACTTTTATTTGGTTTGTTACATTTACAGATCGAGGACTCACCAGTCGGATTGTTGGTATCTGGACTTTATTTACAGCAATACTTCGCTTCAGTTGTGCAATAGATATTTATAATAAGCCGTAAGTATTTTTTGTCGCGGCATCCAGATGTTGATTACCAAATTCATCAGTTTCCCTGGGGGCTTTTAATATCTACATCTTTCCTTTTCCACCTTTTTTTTTTGCTCCATTCTTAACACTAATGTTTTTGTTTATATTAATGTTTGGATGCAGCTTGTCATTTTGTGGTTTTATGTAGTTTTCTTTCACACTGATGATGAAGATGCAGGGTTGCCAACCTCTAAGTAGTCCAGTGTGTGAGTTCTCCCTCCACTGTTTTTTTTTAAGTGAGAGACTTTTGACGGCATCGCGGCGTAACGTTTTTCGGGTGTTGAGATAACATTTACCTATGTATCAAACAAATCCTGGCTTTCACTGACTACTCAAACATCGTCATTGTTGATCTTTTTACTTCAAGATCTTTGTAGGAAATAAAAACATTTTTTTTTTGCAGATATATATTAAAGTTTTATTTATCACACAAACAACTTGACATCATAAATGCAACACATTATAATCAACAGACTTCTTGTAACGATTTCTTTCTTGGCTAGAACAGGTACCAGTCACTTTTTTGTTTTGCTGTCAATATTGCTAGTATGGCATGGGATGTTCCATGACCTGTCAAAAAAAATAACAGTTAATATTAAAAGAAAGATCTTAACCATAGTAGTAATATGAAAAGTTCATTAACATAAAAGATAAAAAATATATGATAGTTTGAGTGAAAAATATTTTCCAATTACTTCTGGCTACTACAGTATCAAAAGCAACAAACAGACCCTGATCATTTACTTGTACCATGTTTGCGATGATTATGTATACCTACGTACCATGTCTATCCAACATGCTAAAGCACTTCACGAAACTCGTTATTTTGTTTTATCACATCAGATTGAAAAGTGTTTAGTTCTACAAGTCTTTGGTGGGTTAACTCCCTTTGATGTTTCTACCTATTTTTCTAAAGATGTATGCGTTAAGGGAACACCCCATATTGTGAAACTGAAATAAGTATGATAGTGAGAGAATTGAAAAATTGTATCATTACATTTATCCTTATTTTTGCCATCTTATGTGGCTCACTAGGCATGGAGGGCCTGTGAGCTTATATAAAAGTCCCACACAAATCTCAGGTGAAGATCTGTTTGGTCATCTTGATTTTGGAATAAAAATCATGTTTGAGAACATAAAGAAAAAGATTAATATTTGAATCAGAGTGTAAATTATATATATTTTTCACTTTGTGGTGTAACATGTTTTTATGTTGTTTGTTTTTTAAACAGTGTGTATTTTTTGCAACTAAAGAAACAATTTGAAGCACACTGTATAATATATATGCATGTTTAGTATACTTCATGTATGTGATCTTTTTACAGGATATTTGGACTGACACTTTTATCATTTTGTGCTGGACTGGTGCATTTGGTAGCTGAAGTATTTTACTACAGAACAACAGATCTCATGCCATCATCATCAATACAGATACTTGTTTCAGGTAAATTTGTGTAATTTAGTATCAATATATGTCAATCATGACATTTGCCAGCCATAATTGTGTATTTTCTGTCTGTATGTCTGCGTTCATCTTACAAAGTAAGTTTATAGCACACCATTAAGAGATGGCACGCTGTTCAAATTGCAATTCCTCCAAGTGCAAAGAGGACATGGTCAATATTTTTATTATGGAAAAATAAATTAAGGCAAAGTTTAAAAAGATGATAAAAATACCTTTGCAATAAACATTCATGTAGTGCACTCTGATTGGTCAAAGGTTTCCGTACAATAGCTTTATCAAATAGGACTTGATTTAAATGAAACTTGGTCATTATTTACACTATAAAAGCAAAGGCTAGTTCAAATTTGAGTGAAATCTACCAATAATTAAGAACCACTCAGAAATATCTATAGGTTAGGGTTACAGTTAGGACAAAACCACTTGTTAAAAGGAAGAAATACAGAAACAGCACAGGTGTTTCAACACATGAACTTTATATATCTAATGAGAATTCAATTTCCAACAATGAAATGTCATTAAGAACATTCTTTATTAAATGAACCTTGTTAACTTTGGATTCATTGCATTTTCAGGTGTGTCAATACTTGGATTGTGCTGTGGATACCTATTCCTGGATAAATCACAAACCATTCAAACCATTGAAGATATAGAGGATTCCAAAAGAAAAACATTTTCAAAGTTAATGAAACGAAAAAGTAGCTGATATTGAAATATTATTTTTGATATTTACATACTTGCTGGATCTAAATTCTCACTTTTACATGCTTTGCCTAGTCCCTTTTTTATTTGCATGAAAGGAAATTATATTTACATGGAAAAGTATGAATACCTTTATTGTTCATATAAAAAGAGAAGATATTAAAACTTACTTCAATACTTGGTATTTGATTTTACATGTAGAATTGTTGTTTTATGACTTAAGGTAAATCACTGTCGGTCTTTGACTCATGTTGCTAGTTTGTTTAGTCTGAAGGGCTAAGTGAGTATGTAAGCATCAGATTTTTACACTTTCAATTTCTTCTGAAAATACACATATTTCAGCTTACTATAAAAGTCTGAAAAAGGAATCAGTTTCCGCACAATATCTAAGTTTTTAATCAAACTCAAACATCAAGTTGTTGCTATTGCTGAGAAAAGAGTTTCTGTATGGTACTGCTAATTATATGATGCATGGAACGCTTTCCCTTCCAAATTAACCGAAACTTAAGATGGTAAAAGTGGTGATTTCATAAAAGATGTGATAGCTTAATACAAGATGGTGTAGTTTTACACAGGACATTTACAGTGAGATATGATACAAGGTCAATTATCTCATCCTATTTGAGGTGCTATTTTATAAATAAGGTAAAACTAAATAAAGGTTTCAATGTTATTTTAATTCTAATTGCAATAAATCTTGACTTCCATACACTTAACCGATAATTCTGTGTGTGATTTTGTGATGGTTTATGTGCAGCCTCTTGGTCCCTGTTTTGCACATGCTTTGTCTCTGATTTTGTGACAGTTTACATGTAACAGTTTACATGTGACAGTTTACATTTGACAGTTTACATGTGACAGTTTACATGTGACAGTTTACAGTTTACATGTGACAGTTTACAGTTTACATGCGACAGTTTACAGTTTACATTTGACAGTTTACATGTGACAGTTTACATTTGACTGTTGACAGTTTACATTTGACAGTTTACATGTGACAGTTTACAGTTTACATGTGACAGTTTACAGTTTACATGTGACAGTTTACAGTTTACATTTGACAGTTTACATGTGACAGTTTACATTTGACAGTTGACAGTTTACATTTGACAGTTTACATGTGACAGTTTACAGTTTACATGTGACAGTTTACAGTTTACATGTGACAGTTTACAGTTTACATTTGACAGTTTACATGTGACAGTTTACATTTGACTGTTGACAGTTTACATTTGACAGTTTACATGTGACAGTTTACAGTTTACATGTGACAGTTTACAGTTTACATGTGACAGTTTACAGTTTACATTTGACAGTTTACATGTGACAGTTGACAGTTTACACTTGACAGTTTACATGTGACAGTTTACATTTGACAGTTTACATGTGACAGTTTACAGTTTACAAGTGACAGTTAACAGTTTACATTTGACAGTTTACAAGTGACAGTTAACAGTTTACATTTGACAGTTTACATGTGACAGTTTACATGTGACAATTGACAGTTTACATTTGACAGTTTACAGTTTACATGTGACAGTTTACAGTTTACATTTGACAGTTTACATTTGACAGTTTACATGTGACAGTTTACATTTGACAGTTTACATGTGACAGTTTACATTTGACAGTTTACATGTGACAGTTTACATTTGACAGTTTACATGTGACAGGTGACAGTTTACATGTGACAGTTAACATTTGACAGTTTACATGTGACAGTTTACATGTGACAGTTGACAGTTTACATGTGACAGTTTACATGTGACAGTTTACATGCGATAGTTGACAGTTTACATGTGACAGTTTACATGTGACATGTGACATTTGACAGTTTACATTGCTTGTGTTATGTTCATTCGGTTCCAGTTTTTCTGTATTAGTTTTGTCTCCGCTGTTGTGAGTTTCTGTTGTTTGAGCTATCTTTTTACTTGTATTGTATGTATTATATCACCCCTTTTCCACTTAAAGTTTAGACATATTGAAATATGCTTGCGAGAGTCTTTGGTAGACGATTAGTCAATATTTTAATACATATACTATGAGTTCTGATTTTAACTCTCTATTTGTGGTTATTGGACAACCTTGGGATTATTTTAGGTTCAAATACTTTTTTTTTTTTTATCCAAACGAATTTTGTCGGTGTTTAAAAAAGGATTTGAATTAAGTCTCCCCTAAATTGAAAAATGCCATTTTTTATTTGAATTTGACGTTTTGTAGTTGTTAGAAATATTACTATATAAATGATAGTGATATGGGATGTATTGTTTCATTTTTCTTGTCGTTTGGACCAGATAATAGATGAAATTACAATTGTGTGTGGATGGAATGATTTCAAGATAACAAGTCTTTTGATGAATAATTCTATTAACGTATCACAATTAAAAAAAATGAAAACATGTTTCTTCATAAAATCGTTTAATAAATATCAGCGTGTTTTGGAGGCTGGCCAAATTCACTTAGCACCATTAAAATCAACTACACTTCCATTTTTTAAAAACACACAATTATACATCCATAGAAAATACAGGCCTACTTACATTTTCTTGTATTCATACTGCCTCTCATGTCTACCCTAATGGTTCTTGTACTTATGTTCATCGTTTTCTCATACAATAATACATTTAAACTAAGTACGTAATTTATCCATACAAACAAATAATTTATTCATACAATAATATACAACAAATAAAATGAATCATTTACCTATAAAATTATACACAATAAAGTTCATACTTTTTTTCAATACAATAAAATACAAAAAAATAATGTTAATGCAATAGTATGCCTATTTTCCTCGTGTTTTTGTTTACGTAATGCCCGTCATGTATCAGAAGAGGTCCCTGTTGTACCGTATAACATAAAACACAGTTAACTGTAAACCATACAATTACATGTATAAAACACAGTAACTGTAAACAATACAATTACATGTATAAAACACAGTTAACTGTAAACCATACAATTACAAGTATAAAACACAGTTAACTGTAAACCATAACGTAACGTTTACGTAACAAACACATCCTGTATATAGCTGAAATGCATTACACACTTCTATAAGTTTCGGAAATAGAAACAAATTTGTTTAACACAATATGACCAAATTCACAATTGTTTTCATAAAACGTTGACAAAATGACATTGAATTTTGCCTCGGTCTCCATGCTGAGAGCACCGATATCTCTGTAATATAAATCAGTGTGCAGATATAAAATCTGATTCATGATAATATATCTCTATAACACATTGGTAGTATTTCATTGAGTACATTTCAACATTAAATATTCATTCCTAAAATGAAACACAATACTTGGCAAGATTTGTTTCTATGGGAAAACCCTACATATATTGCTATCATTTCTATAGAAGGTAATGGCATCTAACATTATTGCTTTTCTAAGTTGTATTCAAGACGTGAAGCCTTCACCCTACAGCTCATGAGATTGTTTCCCGTGAACTAACTGGTAGAATTCAGATTGTGGATTTTTGAGAAGGTTTTCTGGAGAGTCCAATTCGGCCACCTGACCTTGATCCATCACCAACCCTCGGTCACTGTCCATTATGGTGTTGATACGATGGGCAATGGTCAGCACCGTACTGTCCACAAACTCCTGTCGTATTGTCTCCTGTATCAATATGTCTGTCTCCAGATCCACACTAGCCGTAGCTTCGTCAATACACAGCACCTGAACGGAAAAATAGTGTAAATTTTAACTTGTTCAATGTTTTATTCAAATAATTTTATATCAGTTCATGCCACGGATTTAGATAACAATCTAATTCCGTGGTTCATGCATATACCCATTATCTTGAAAACTTATGTTGTATTAACAAGTTTTCATCTCGTCATTATTTGGGATTAACTACTTGTCCATGTCATTTTTATTATGCCAACATTATTACAATGGACATTCAAATTCCCATTGGTCCAAATTCAAATGAAATACCTCAGTGAGTATCGCCAAATCTAGCGAAAGGGTTGTCCCCAACCACAAAGAAGTATCTTACCTTGGCCTTAGTGAGAAGTGCCCTAGCCAAACACATGAGTTGTCTCTGTCCCACTGAAAAATGCCGGCCCTTCTCTGCTACCTCTCCCTCGAGTCCTCCGAGTCTGTCGACAGGCAGTCGGAGGTGACACCTGTCAAGAACACCCCATAGTTCTTCGTCACTGTAGGAAGAGGTGGGGTCCAGATTCTCCCTGACGGTACCACTAAAGAGGAATGGGTCCTGGGGAATCACAGCCAGATGTCGTCTGAAAGTGTGATGATTTACATTAAATGGTGAACAGCTTTATCTTAATTCTGTATACATTGATCAATACAGGAAGGGGAAATTCAACCGATGTACCATATATATGTTTTACATTTTCAGTCTCTTTAATTAAAGAACACGTACACACATGTATGCATGCACACACTTACATACATACATGCATGCATACATTGAACTGTTACCCGATGCAGTATACAGTCGATATGAATGCAATTTGGGTGACAGATAAATAGAATGTCGCCCGTTATGTTTATATTTACATTTACATGTATATAGTTTGTTTTGTATAGTAACTGAAGCAAAAATACGTTTGAATTTCCCGCTTATCATATCAGTGACGTCAGTAAGTTCAAATCCCAGAACAGCCGACATTTCCAGAAGAAACAATATAGTCCCTCGTGTCATTGAAAACCACACGCACATAAAATGGTTTGAACACAAACTTAACTTTATTATTTATTTCATATGAGTGTGTATATGTTGAAAAATTGTTGATAATTGCATAACTTCTGCTTGTTTAAAATTAAAGCTGTTTTTCGCGCATTGATAGATTACATGTATTTTGAAGTGATGCGGCGCTTATGTTTCCTTCGACTGGAATATTACGTTATTTTCAGAAGCATATATACTCGGAAATGTTTAATTAAAGTGGTCCTTTCAGTAGGTGATAACGATTCCAAGGACATTTCGTTTGAAATAGATTCCATGTCTAATCGGTCAGCTTAGCATCGCTAGCAGACGACGTTCACAGGGGCTTGGTTTCGTGATTTTGAGTAATGGATGACATCACTGAAAAACCACAACACTTCAAAAGGTATTTGTACACATTCTAAAACCTTGTCGATACCCTCGACTTTTTACAAGGTTTTAGAAATGCTGAATTTTAGTGTTGTGGTTATTCACTGATGTTATGCATAACTCAAAATCTCGAAACCGATCCCCTGTGTGATGACGTTGACAAACTTGGTAATTTCGTATCTAGAATGTCGCTTACAATAATTTTGGGGTACCTACACATCCTATAATAAATTTATATTGTCATAATTTGTCAAGTTGCTTTATTTTTTTGCGATGACCTATATTGCTAAATGCTAACGAACCCAGAATGTTTTCCGACTATAGGCCTATTGATACCGAAAGTATCGGGCGGCCATGTTTGTTTACCTTGTACCAGCTGTATTCCTACACTGGCCGTATCACTGTAAATTGTAGTATACAGTCTCATATACTGCAATTTGGTTTACTAACGACATATAGGCAAATGCAACACAGAATGTAAATATACATACATAAACATGCATACATACATACGTACACGCATGAACACGTATACACATGCATGCATACATGCATACATGTATGCATGCATGCCATGCATACATATATGCATACATACATACATAAAATCTGTTGGTTGATTCTATATATCTCTGAACACAAACACGAATAGCAGAATTAAGATCTTCACTAAGGTACAATGTAACTACTTGCTTTAGTCAATAAATTAGCATTAAACATTAAATGTTCATAAAGGTTTAGGTCCAAGTTTAAGTGTAAATTTAAATTGGTGTCAAACTGAAAATGAGACCGAGATATTATCATATTTTGTCGATAGTGTGATAGTTCCGTGTTACTATATGATAACGGTTGTTTGACAGTTACGTGTTACTATATGGTAACGGTTGCTTGACAGTTTCGTGTTACTATATGATAACGGTTGTTTGACAGTCACGTGTTACTTTATGATGACAATCACTGGAATGCAACGTGTTACTATATGGTGAAACTCACTTGACAATTACATGTTACTATGAGGTGACTGTTACCTGACGTCTTTGAGATCCAGTTGCTGTATGTTCAATCCATCAATGGTTATATCTCCGGAGCTGATCTCCACAGTACGAAACAGTGTCTGGAAGAGGCTTGATTTCCCGGATCCAGTTCGTCCCACAATTCCAACTTTTTCTGCGTGACTTGTGCTGAACGTGAGGCCTTTGAGGACGTTAGGTAAACCATCCCTGTACTTCATGTGGACATCACTGTAGCTGATCACACCTGTAGCTGGCCAGGCCGGAGAGGGCTGTAACATACAATGACGATAAATGTACAATATACATTGTGGACTTATTTCCATAAGTTGATTAAAATACCATTTACTGATATGATAATTCTTTGTTATCAAAATAAAAGCTTACATGACTCACCTGTGAACCTTCCCATTTCTCGCTGGGCGTGTCCTCTATATACTGCTGTACCCTCTCCACGCTAACCATTTGTGTTTCAGTCTCAGTTACGCAGTTGACGATTCCGTTTAAAAGACCAGACAGCGAAAGGATGTAGGAAATGGCGAGTCCAGCTACACCTGTGACGTAGAAATAAGCATTGGATATATTATAAATACTTCCTAATATGCATACAAATATTATTCATTCATTGAAATCATCGTTCATAACAATTTCTGCAATCTTGTCTTGTATCATCATTGCACATTTAATTTAGAAATCATACCTGGATCGATTCCATGTATGTTGTGTTCAATCACAGCCAAAAAGGCTATTCCAGTCACCATGACGATTCCAACCAACTGCGTCTGGATCCAAAGCCAGAGTGCTATGTTGTGGCCTGTATAACGAGTTTTTAACCAGTTGTCCAGACGATTAACGTATTGGTCTTTGAATCTACAAGGATATGGCCATTATCAGTTTTACGATTCAAAAATTCAGCAATGCTTAATCATAAATAGCATTTGCGATAAAATGGCTATAATTTTTATTCAAACTGCTATAATATATTACTTCTAATAAAGAAATCAATTAATTTCATTGTTTTGAAAGAAACCGGTATCAATTAATGACACAAATATCAACCTTAAAACAAGCCTTCATCTTATACGAAAATAATACTGACCTTTCGGACTCCCGAAATGCCCGGATCGTAACTACTCCCGCAACAGTCTCTGAGAAGTGGGAGAAGATCGGTGAACGGTTAAGACTTGCTATTCGTCTAACTTCCCTAGACGTGTGGCGATATTTTTCCTATGAACAAATGTAGTACGAATGTAAGTAAACATGATCGACCAGTCGAAACATCTAGCCAAAACAGACATCGAAAATTGAATGAAACATTTTTGTCGAATTGATCTACTCATTACATGTTACTGTTGACGACCAGCATTTCTAATGCGTTTTAACTAGAATTGGTCGGGATGAAAGTTTAAAATATCAATATATAATTTAGAATGAATAAATAAAAACGAAACCTATAATATTATCATTAAGTGAATGTACCTGTAGCTGATAGTAGACTGCGCACACAGGTAGAAGGAGAAGTATGAACCAAGGCATTCCGTAGCAGACAATGGATATAGCTCCAACAACTTCGAAAAATTGGCACAGAACCACCATAATCATGTGGCTTATGGAGTCGTCGATAGTCCCCATGTCTGATGAAAACCTGTTCAGAATTCGTCCTATAGGAGTCACATCATAGAAGGACATAGGCGCCTACAAACACACAGTTCATCTTATTAGAAACGAATCAAAATCACAAAAGTAAGAAATTATAACGACTACAAGTAATATACAACAACAAATGAAAACATCCAGCTTGTACAGGTAATGAAATTGCGATATTGTATGATTGGATAATTAAACATTGATTTACCTTTAGTATAGTATTGAGTAGGTCACTGTGTATGGTCTTCGCTACTCTCATCCCACTATAGGTAAATAAAATTTCCCTGACAAGCGAGAATAGAGAGTAAACACCAGACAGACATGCGTACACCCCCATGTAGTAGAAAAGACTTGATTTTCCGGATGATGCAGGTGATGTGAAGTCATAACGTTGATCGAAGCTGAAAAAGGAAGAGACAATATTTAACCAGTTTAAACACGAAATACGTCAGCTTAATTTACGTATAACTAAATCACTCAATGTAAATAACTTTTTAGCGAATATTTACGTGCATATACTATATTGTAATCAATTTAAAGGAAGCTTACATAATTGGTGTGGACATGTTGTCATGGAAACAGAGATATCGAGAAATGGAGGTGTTGGTATCGTCATTATTAGTACTGGATACCCAGTAAGTCAGCCACCAGTCTTTCATCATCTCGGACACTGTAATAGGGGAATGTCGATGAAACAAATATCAAAACAGTTTTGATCAGGTGTTGAGTTTTATTTTAATGCTTAGAGACTACTTATTTTACATCAATTTAAAAAGAAATATTATTGGTTTCTTGACCATTCAAGAAATCGAAATGCCATACTTCTTTCCTTGTTTGATTTCTAACGTAAACGCAGATTGACGAAAGAGAAATAAAAACTTACCTCGCATGAAGACAATAGATATTATCATGGCTAGGGCTAGCCATTTACCTATCGCTGATAGATATGCGTTGTACACTTCTAACTTCATTTCCCCAGTAGCCTTAGTCTCCTCTCCTAGTTTCCCTTCCTTGTTGTTGTTATCATTGTAAACCACCTTCACGCCTTCTTTGTCCGATGGTTTGTGTTCAGCAAATTTAACATCGGTAAGCACTTCACATGGAAGACCTAATGGAAATGTAAACAAAATAGTAAACGTTGCTAGCTAATTCATTGCGGTTTCCTACTAGTATTTTTATTAAATGAGTGATTGTTTGAATTATAATTCCCTACCTAAAATCATTTCTACGATATAAATAAGTTTTCCTTCAAAGAAACTAGGACATTTGTGTAATGACTCACCCATTTTGGTGATTTTTCCATCATCCATAGCAATGACAAGATCTGCTTCTCCAAGAAAATTGATGTGATGCGTGCATAGGATTCTCGTCTTGTTTTTTAGCAATCCCATGATGCACTTGTCATACATTTGTTGTGCCACGTGCGCGTCCACTGCTGCTAAAGGGTCGTCAAGAAGATACACCTCCTTATCCTGGAAATAGAATGTTGAATAAGCATTTACAAACTTTAAACTTTTGCGCGAAAAGCTAGTTATCTTAAATTTTTTATGATTGTTTAAAGGAAAAGTTTATTATTTCTTCAAAAGAACATTTTATTTCAAGACAAATACAGGTTCAGGTTTATCAATAGTGTGTTGAATTTACCTGATATAATGCTCTTGCTAGGGCGAGTCTAGCTTTCTGACCTCCACTCAATGTAACTCCATTCTCACCAACTTCTGTCTTATCTCCAGCTGGTAACATCTGAAAGATTAAAAGAACCATTTTTTATGCTTGCTGAAAAGGTTTATATGACAGAAAACTCTATATATCATCGAAAACATACTGGTAATATTTGTTTACAGTAGAAAACAAATAACTTAACAATGTGTCACATACGAACCTCTATATCTTTTGTGAGTGATGCTGCATCCAGTACATCAGCGTATTTCTTGGCGTTGAACGGACTGCCAAAGGTAATGTTATCCCGGACGGTTGCCTGTTGTATCCAAGGTTCCTGATCCGCCAGAGCAAACCCGTTTTTGAGGTTAGACACAGAAATATTGCCGTCTTTCCGAGCCATTTCTGCCATTATAGCGTTCAGAAAGGAACTTTTTCCAGAGCCAACCTTGCCGACCACTCCTATGAACTGACCCTATAGAAAAAAATTATTTGTAATATTGTTATGAAAAGGCTTAGGTTTTATGAATGCTAATTAAAACATATCACATAAAGATTTCCATCACAAACGATGTACATTATTACTCACTTTTGTGATATCCACAGTAATATTTCGCAGACTTAGAGTTCCAGATTTACTGGTTGCCTCCTCTGATTCGCTGGTAGATTCAGTCTCACTTTCTTTTTCGTCACTTTGCATCTTCTCCTCTTCCCAAGTGAATTTCCCAGTGTTCACCGATATCACATTTTCGGATTTCTTCGATTCTGTAACCATATAGATGGAAAATTGAAATTATGTTTTGAATCCATATCTATTTGATATGAGTTTCATCCTTATTTTTAAGTGATTTGACTTCTGAAATTGCTGAATGTCAGATATCATCCAGAAATAATTTATTAGCGTTATTTTTTTCACAAAACAATTATCCTGATATCTCAGTTTTCAAATAACGGCACCTACCAACCGCATTAATCGTTCATAATAACAAAATGCATTTAATTGGTCTTTTCAAAAATAACGAAACGAAAGTATGTATACTCATGCTAGTACAACTAAACAACAATGACATCGAAGTTTACCGTGTATTGTTTCGTAATATTTTTCCAGATCAATATCTTCCAATGCAACAAATTTCTCAATTCTTTCAAGGGAAATAACTGCTTCCATTATGCCATTGAAGACCCAAGGAAGATGATTGAGAGATCCAAGGAGTTTCAGAAACAGTGCTAGACTTGCAAACATCTGTAATAAATATATATATATTCTTAAATATGCACATTATTGCTATTAAATTGGCAAAATCAGTGAATTTTTCGTTCGATTTGTGTCTTACGAACGTTTCGTCCAGACAATTAGCATGATTATTGACCATGGAAAATTTAATTTAAAGAGTCAAACGTTACCAAAGGTGACATAAATGAAAATATGATACAAACACTTCAACACGAAAACCACATGTTTTGTTTTTACCTTGGCGGCCGTTAGCGTATTTCCCATCATAATGTATGAGCTGAAGGTCAGTACGGTCATAAAGATAGGGGTCAGTGTCCACAAATATCCAGTGATGGCTCCGATAACTTTCTTTTGTTTCATGATCTGTAACTCAGCATCACGGAGTTTGTCAATCATCTTCCGGAAGTGATCTTCCCATGTGTAAAGCTTGATTATCTTAATTCCGCCCAGCACCTCGTTCATCAACTGTGAGAGGAAACGTTAACTAAATTAAGCATCTCATTCTCACATTCTACTAAATGATTACATCACGACTATTTTGACGTTTATTAATTAATTGATTTTGTTATCAAAAAATAAAATTTGTTTTAACAAAATAACTATTGAACTGTTGTTTTATTTTACTAATCAAGTTAACATAGATAGTACATACCTTCGTTCTCTTGTCTTTCTCTTCCATTAGTAACTTTCCGAGAGCAATTTGCTTCGTTGATATGATCTTGTTTATGGGGACAAGTACCAAAGCTACTACTAGTCCTCCCAACATGGCAATCCCGACCAGTTGATATAGGATATACATACATAATATGGTCTCAAATGGAAGACTCCACAGGGCGTGGAAGCAATGGCAAAAGCCCATCATTCGATCTGTATCAGTCCCAAGAAAATTGACAATCTCGCCAGTGCTGAATTTCGATAAGGAGACGGTACTTATTCGCAATACTTTCTGATAGATAGTCGTCATGATAGACATTCTCACTTTCATAAAAACATGCATACGGACAAAGTGAAATCTACTCTCAAGGAGAGCTTTTCCAAAACTCGACAAGAACAATAAAAAGGCATAACGATAACCGATGTTTGATGGTTCATCCCCATTTTCGAAAAAGGCGATCAACAAACCAAGTGATATTGGACCTGTGAAGTTAATTAGATGTGCAATTAACTCTAAAATACCACAGTAAAGAAAAAATTCCAGTCCGTAGGCTTTGTACAACGCCTGCAGTAAGGTAGACTTCTTTTTCTTGTCAGTCTGTACACTAGAGTCAACCTGTTGGAGTGTTTTAGAGAACTGTTCCTGAACTCTCTTAACGTTGAGATCGTTTGGCATGACGAACATATCTATAGATGAGAGACCGGCCTTTTCATTTCCTTTTTTCAGAAGTGGTTGTACCCAGTTATAAGTTAACCTGGAGAACAGAGATACTCCATCCTCATTGACTGTGTGTTCGTCATCACAATTCGGATCCGTCTGGTGTTTATGAGATTCATTTTTGTGACCATCTTGTGTTCTTTGTAATACTTTCCTTGTCACATAAGTGGATATTATCACGGTTAGGACAGCAAGTAGGACATTGACAACTGAGGACGTTATAACTTCAAATGGTGCTTCCGTGACAACAGTCTGAACAACCATTGATTCTTTGCTTTGCAACACAGTTGTATTGACTTCTTTGAAAATTGTGACGTTGTCATCCATGATTATGTTTTCTTTAATGCACAGCGTTCTCCAGAGCGAGTACTCGATATCAATTATCTGAAAATGTATATATGTTCATGTATAACATGAAAATCAAGGCACTTTTCAATTTTCTAGTGATTAAAACTGTTTTATCGCAATCTTCATTATATATATATATATTCTAGATGAAGTGATATTTATAATATTTAAAAATGTAAAATAACTATTTTATCATGTTCGCAGTATTTTAACCAATCAGAAAGAAGTTCCCATAAAAAGATGAAAGGAAGAAATAAACTGAACCGAATATCTCTGTGTATTAATGTCATTCGTATTATATCTCTGTGTATTAATGTCATTCGTATTTGTGACCATTTGGGATAAATTCTGTTCAGATCTGCGCTTGTGTATCAGGGGAAATAAAGCATTCACACGAACCGCCGAATATATACATAAATAAGGAATATCCACTGTTTATTTCAGTTACATATAAGTGGTGTTGGAAGTGAATAACTACAGTCACACATTTTGTTTTTAACATATTTCCTTTACCGATTTGCATTTTAACATATCAGTATACTAGTTCTATTCGGTATTTATTTAGTATTGTGTTCAGGATAGAAATAAAATATATATGTATTTTTTAGTAATGAATTAGATTAAGGTCCACTGTACTAAAATATAACTACCACAATAACTTTTATTATGATGTATATACTTATATTGAATCGTCAATGATACTAACGTTAAACGTTTTAGTGTCGTTCCGCCTTTAAACTCAAATGGTACAACATATACTGTATAATGTATACCTCATAGCTCATTCAAATAGTAATATGATATTAAGACTTACCGACGAGTACGATTGATTGAGGTTTCTACTTCAACAATATTTTATATGTTGACAACTTTAACCGTTCGAGGTCTGCTCCAGCCAAGCTGAATGACCCAACTTACCGGACACTTTATTTTATACACAAGTCTGGCCAAAATACCGGAATTCAGCATGCTGCTGATTTCCCTGGGTCTAGAGAAAGGGGATTTTTTTCCAACTGAAAATAGACATGATATACGTCTTGTGTATACACAGCGAAATGAAAACGAGGTCGTGTGACATAGCTGTATTAACTATAATCGATCGAACACACGGTCAGTCTAGTGTATTTAAACGCCGCGTAAGTACGGGACATGGTTACTGTTTACTTGTGTTGTTGTCGTCCATTGTTAGTAACTCATATACGGCTATAATCAAATTTTCCTCTGTACTTTCCGGATAAATTCACCGTGACGAACTCTTACATACCAATCTAAACCTTTTACCATGTAGTAGTGCAATGGACATACGATATATAATGTACTTAACGGGATATTTGATTTAATTATGTTGATTGCGTAGTAATTCACGAATCTTGTCACACAAAATGACAACGTGCTATTTTATTGACGGATAATTAAACTCCCATCTCATCTCTGTTGATTTATGTTTAGAATATAACAGTCATTATCCCGTTCGCTTTCGCCATATTTGAGTATGATCTAAGCCTTCACGCACTAAATGTGTGTACTGCCCATAGGTATATAGAACGCCAAAATCACTTACGTATTAAATTGTTCGTTGACTAACATACGGTTGTGTTGAGGATTACGCCAACGGCAATAATTATCTACACGAGGTCCAACATTCCTATACCTGTATAAATGGCAGAGTTTTACTGATGAATTGGTGTATGTCTTAATTTTATGTATATTATTTACCAGTAGACAAAACGATTATGACTTATATGGTTTTTTTTTATCAATTTTGCCACATTCGGTAATTAACACAAATAAGGTAGGCATCATTTTGGATTTCACAATCAGTGTAATATAAGTTGCTCTGTGTACTTACAGATACTATTATAGCACTCCTATCTTTTTTGATCGCGTCGCCAGGAGGGGCATGTGATAAAGAGAGTGAACAGTAACGTGTACTGGTAAGGCTGTGTTATATTTCCCTTGGACTATAAAAACTACGCACTTGTATTACGATTTTTAAATGTTCTGCTTTATATTTCGATATGAGTCAGCAAGGATCGATTTATCATTTCTGACTTAAGACGATACAATTTAATCCAGAAACATGTGTTTTATTTGATTTTTAATAATTATGATAACTTCAATTATTGCATTAATTAGTCAGTGTATTCTTTGATTTTACTTCTAGATTTTGTAAATGTTCAAACACATTTCTGCATTACTTTACTCTTCTACAGAGCTGGTACAAGAAAATACAAAATAAATCTTATATACACAAAACTGTCTATCCCTAACTTAAATGTTATATCGGACGAAAAAATGAATTATTTGGAAGAGTGTTATATTTGCTTAATTACTTTGTTATTGTGAATTGATTAATATCGTATATCGTTTTTCAAAATATCTTTATATAACGACTTTGCGCGTAGATTATAATTGAAAAAAAAGATTGGGTATTTTGTTCACAAACTCAACGGTTGGTTAGGTATGCCAAAAATGGCATCTGCATGTTGAAAATAAAAATGTGTATTTCGTTTGAAATAATACGGAATTGGTCAATTGCACTACGTCTTCCATATGTTCATTGTAATCCAAGACATAGTGAACTTTTGATTTTTCTAAATTATTATTTTATACTCCCCTGCCTCCTAATATGTCATACATTGTAGCTCATGATTGTTATAATGCAATCGATTACACACGACCACATATATTGTTATACCTTTATACTAGCTATATTGTAAATATTGTGTTAAGATTTTTTTTATAATATACGCTGATAAACTCATTAGCTGCCAACGAGACAACTAGTATGTCTTTTGTGTTAAATACACATTTTGCTATGTTTGTTTTGCTTGTTTTCAAAGGAAAAGTATCATGTTTAGCCTAATTTCATATGATGTAATGCATATGTGAAGTAACCAAGTTTTTGCAATTAAGTT